ATTACCGATTACTTATAATTCAAACAACATAATGATTGAAATGCTAAAATCTAATGTTTATATTCACATGTAACTTCACTAAAGTCCTTTCAAATAGTTTATTTAGAATCTTCCAAAAATCTTTAATGATAAACCGCCGTCCTTTTTGATAAATATCAGAAGTATATTTTAGACTGTAAAGTGTCATTTGTAAATTGGAAAATGTTTGTAGTAAAATGATAAGTGCAACTTCTTTAGTGTATTATGTCTTCTGTTATATCTCAAATGAATTATCTTTTATGCAAATTACCAAGGTCGCGACCCTATTGAATATTCAGCATTGCTACGCCATTCTTTTAAACAATGACTGCTCCCCTCAAGGGAAAGATGATTCTCATGAGGGCCTAGCTACTTCACAGTTAAAAAGATGTCTGCTGTTGATATTTAGTCTGAAATCAGTCAGAGGATATGTAGAGTTGCAGACAGTTTGGAGTCCGGACAATCTTTACAAGATTCTAAACATCAACTTGAATGTGTTTGTAATATTTTAATGACAATTGATCTTGAACTAAGTGTGGAACTTAATTTAAATTTAACCAATTGTTGTACAAAACTTGGGCAATGTATGGAATACATTGACCGTTCAATTGCAGTAGAGTGTACAGTGTCAAGTGAATCATTCCAAATGGAAAGGTCTGCTGGAAATGTTGGCGCACCTAAGATATTTATTCTTCCAGAAGAACTATTTCTTGTAATTTTTCACCCAGAAAATGGCAAACTTTTATAATGTAAGCATGAGAACTATTCAGAGAAGTCTGAATATAACATAAAAATTAGAAATAAGTATAGTCTGATATCCGATGAAGAGTTGGATCAGAAAGTGACAGATATTTTGATAAATCACCCCAACATAGGTTATCGCAGTGTGCTTGGACATTTAAAAAGTAAAGGTGACCGAAAAATTTAAAACAGAATGCTTATCAATGGAATATTTAATGTATATTTCAGATAGAATTGGTTAATATATATTATGGTAATGTTTTCTACAAGTAAACAACGCTTTATAAATTTGTAAAAATGATAATTAGTTCTTCAATTGTGGATATCAAGAACAGATTAAAGGCCAATAGACATTTTACCAACTATTGTGATGATAAACCTCACCTTCTCTATGTATCCCTTTTCAAGTACACTTAATTTCAAATAAAAAAAAAAACCACCACGTGGGTCAATATACAGACAGATTTATTTACCCTATTAACTTAGTTACCCTATTTATATTTATGGAAAATAATTTCCCGTTCAATCATCAAAGGATGTCCATAAATATATTTGAATAACCACAGTAGCCTAATAATACCACCCACCCCACTCTCTATTTGACGTCAACGAACAGTTTACATATTTTCAAGTAGAATAAGTGGTAACGAACACAACGTAGATCGACAAACTAATAGTTTCAGTTACCACTTCTTCTATCCTGGAAAATGGTACCCAGTTGTTATTTATGATTTACATACATTGATGTGCATACATATTGTTGACTGGCAATAGTAGGGAGTGCTGTTAACCCCTACTCTTCTGTGCGCGCCTTTTATCCCACTTTCCTACTATAGTCGTCAACGAACAGTTTACATATTTTCAAGTAGAAAAAACGGTAAAGAACACCACGTAGATCGACAAACGAAGAAATTCAATTACCACATTTTTTACCTTTCAAAATAGTACCCAGTTCTTGTTTATGTCTTACCATCTCTGTGCATAAATATTGTTGACTAACTAGAAATGGTAAACTCCCCCCCCCCCCCCACACACCCTTCTTACGCGCCCCTTGACCATACTCCCACTGACTACTATAGTCGCCAAAGCCAGATTACATTGTTTAAGGAGATAAAGAAGTAGTTACGAAAGCAAGGTGGATCGATATATGCGAATAGTTGCAATTACCACTTTTCTACCCTGGAAAATAGTACAAACTTCTTGTTTATGTACCCAGTTCTTGTTTATGATGCATCAAATATTGTGTACTAAGTATAGTGCTGTTAGTCGTTTTTTTTCCCACCCCGCGTACCTCTTGGCCCATGTACCTACATAGTACTCAGTTCATGACATACCAAGTTACCACCCCCTCATGAACATAAATATTGTTCACTGACTAATAAAGTTAATCGAGCAATTTCGCAAGTGATTCTCAGAAACAGAAATGGTGCCGAAAATTAATGTTCAAGGTAGTATACATTTCCTTCCAAACGCACCAAATTAGGTACAAAAAGTCTGAGGCCATGATTTACAGTGCAAAAAAGCGCTGAGAATAAAAACAGCAGCTATAATTTAATTATAGCGCGGACGTAATAGTAAAACGTGACTCGACGTGACAGTGTTCAAACATTTTACACCCGAATGTTTGTCAATGGGCTTTTAAATTTAGATTTTCAGATAGAATTATCATTATATGTTTCTACAAGTAAAATTCGATGGGAGATGGCATGCTGAGCGCTGGTGAATGATGGGGCGCTGCAGTGTAGTTGATGGGCTGAACGATGAGCAAGGTGCCTGAGCTATTGTGTTCCTTGTGCTTTGGAGGCTTGCTGATAGCATTGTGATGCTTCGTTGACCGCTGGTACTTGACGTGTTTTTGTCTATTGTTTGTATTTGTTTGTTGCTGGTCTTGACGAGTGTGGATGTCGGCTTTTGCTTTATGTATGCTTGTAGTTCTGTTTTCTATCGTTGTTGTTTTGTGCTTAATGCTTTGTGGATTGACGGGGGTATCAGTGATGGTGTTCTTTTTGTTTGATGTTCATCGTTCATTTATAGTTTTGTGTATATTTGATTTGTGATAGCATATTCATCTTTTTTGGTCATGTATACTTGGTCACAGCAACATAACCTGTTCATCTAATTAATACACATGTACTTGTGTATTTTTTAACAAAACTTGTACATCGAAATAGTGTGTAGATTGTCTTTTCACACCTTCACCAACATGTTCCGTTGGCCTATTGATGATGATCCTGATAAGATAAGAAAAGATAAGTTCATCAGTTGGAAAAATTGGAAGCGCTGTTATGGAGGAAACTGGCTTGCTTTTATCCAAAAACATAATTTGAACAAATGTGCATCCTGAATCTCAATTTCACATTGTAAACAGGTTATCTTCCCTTTTTATGCGTATGAGGGCCATTTATGTCTTCTATTTGGTCATTGGATCACTTCAATAATTTCGTTTAATATTTGTGGTTCCTTTAATGCTCATATATGACGTCATTATCACAAAAGCTTCTTAAAAATATTTAAGAGCCTTTGCAAAGAGAGTAGAAAAAACTATAAAAACGCTTTACTATCACTTTTAGAGATGTTCCCGTCCCTAACTTTTTGATTCGTTGCAAAAATTAATTCTTAATCTGTTTCTCATGTGTTTATTTATTGGTAAAGGAATCACCTCGCGGTATAAAAAAAACTATTATTATATAGTTCCAGAAGTTCATTTGACTTAAAAGATAGCTGATGTCCAAAATTCAACAAAATTATACCATGTTCCAACTATATATCGGATGAATAGTGTACCCAGCTGATTTTAACACACTGTTAATGGGCAAAGGACAATAACTTCTTCAAACTCATTTAAATCGTTTCATTCTATGGACAATAGCAAATTTGATAAAAATAAGGAATGCTGTAGTTTCAGAAATGTTACCATACGATGTTGTGTTGGTAAATAACAATTATTCCAGTAGCGGAGCCAGGTTGACATCCGAGAGGGGAGGGGGGAAGGTGCAAAATATCTGAGGGTCGCCTGAATATCTAACTGAGTCATGAGATTTTTGCCCCAAAAACGTGTCCACTTTGGCTTTGCCACTGAATTATTATCAATATATTTTAATATATTTTAATATATTTTTAGTAATTTATATAAATATTGATACAATTTACAATTCTACAAAATAATTTACAATCTGATTACTGATAACAATCTTTCATTACCTATGAATGCATTCATTGATTCTTTCAGCAATTACAACCCATGATTACTTTCAATCTTTCAATATAAAACCTTTCAATCTAAATAACAGAAGAATGTATAACCAAGTTAATGTGCACATCCTAGTTGAAAAGAACACAATATAATTCTGACTTAATCTTTCAACTACTATTATTCTTCTTAATTATTAAATGAAATGCTCCTGTTTAGTTTTGAATCAAACCCGGTTCACAAGTATCAGTGCTTGTCTGTCTGTGAGAATATTTCAACTACAATTATAAAGTAAATTCATTTAGAAAAATAGGTTTATTTATAATAAAATATATTCCCTATTCCCTATATATTTCAAAACTGGAATGTACACATAACAGAGATCTTTTTATCACATTTATTTTCGGAAACCTTTATTGTTTTTATTAAATCTGATTGTAAAGACAGCATACATTCAGGGACAGCAAACCCAATTAAAAATTTTAATTAAACAATTATAATTAGACTTTCATCAATGTCCTCAAGTAATATAAGTAAGTTTCCCTATCCAATTTCTGAGCCAGCAGACCATTATTCTCATCTCTTAACACCTACTGTTCTATTCATATTGACAAATTAACAAACATGTTACAAATAGGGGAGAATTAAAAATTTTTGATCTTTAAACAAATCAGTTTAGAGCAATATTTTGTTTAGATGAATCTTATAGCTCTATTGTACTGCTACAGAATTACTTAATGCAACTGACATCCTTGTAAGCTCAAGATTCGTGATTTCAAATTGATTCTATTCTGCTCTAGAGTCGCTTTAAGCAGAATAAAACAGAATACATCTTACTTAAAAATTGCGTCACTGTCTGTAAAAATTAGAGACTAAAATGGTGATGGGATCAGCACAAACCACAAACACAACCATTGTGGGAAATATCTAAAATCTGACTTAGAAACTAGTAAAATCAGGTAAAAATCAACCTTAATATACCAGGCAATTCAGAATCGTTTTTATCACATGATTTCAGGCAGATTGTAAAAAGACTGGAGGTTATCTGGTGTCACGTTGACCCAGTCCCGAACTCTGTATTCAGTCTAAATAAATCATTCTTATCACAAACATCATATAGATCTGGTCTACCCAATAAGGATAAAGTCATACGTAAAGTACTCCAGATGTTGTTAGACATGACAGCTTGAGCCCCTGTCGGTCCTCGACTCTGTTGTTGCATATTTAACGCTGAGAGAAAATGTTCGACTGCTTCCCTACAAAATAATAAATAACAACATTTAACTGAAAATAATGGTGATCTTAATAGTGATAAACATACCGTGAAATTTGTTAACATTTCTGGGGGCTCAATTTTTGTGAATTATGTTGGTTGGCCAACCCACAAATTAACCTTTTCTACAACACTGAAGAACTATTAATGATGTTCAATGTATTGATTGAAGTTGGATTAATAAAAATAGTTTGAATAATAATGGGAATTATAACAATTACTACAGTAAACTACTAAAGATATAGTAGGATTTAGTCAAGAATGTTTTCAAATTAAATAAACTGTAGAGTCATAAAGGTGTCTGAATCACTTACAGGAACCACATTCTGTGTTTCAAAATTGTTATCAGCGCATCTCTGATACTTCCTACTGTCTGAATGATCTATATTGTGGTTGAGAACCAAAAATCAGTTATCAAAATTTAACATGTAGAATATGCATGCATGAACATAGCCTGTTTATATGTAAATCGTTAAAATCTTACCTATGAGCACCCAGATTAATACAAGCTATGCCTAGATTATATCTAGATCTAATAAAACCAGGTGATAACTGTAAGGCATTATGATAAGCATCTACAGCATCTTCACTTCTATTACCATTAGCTAATGTAGCTCCTAATTTATTCCATAATAAAGCATCCTACAAATTATAAAAATCTTAAAAAGTTTATCGTAGTATTAAATGCAAAGGCTATACATGATGTTGTGATTCTCAAACATTTGAGCTTCCCTGCTGGTCCTGAGGCAAAAATAGATCCAAATGAACAGTCCTGTCTGATACTATTTGAAGCATTAAGAAGGAAATGATATCATATAATATATACATTATATACAGAAAGAAGACTGGGTGACAGAAGAATGAAGCCACAAACCTTTGGACGAACTTGAAGAGCAGCTGAAAAACAATCTACTGCTTTATCATATTCACCACTTAGATTAAATAATACACCTAAACCACTCTGAAATTAATTTATTCAAATCTTTTTCAATAAATCAGATTAAAAGTCGAGTCTGTTTTGTTTCATGCTTTCCTCCAGGTTTTTCCTTTAAATCAAGGGTTAAAACTCCATCAATATTTGTTGAGTCACACCTAAATATGAACTTCTCCAAGTTCTTTTGGATATTAACCTTTCCACCAATAATATTTGAAAGGGTACAATCTGAATGTTTGGGCATTTTCTGCACAGCTCTGTTATTCAATAAACAATAACCTACCTGAACATCAGCATCTATTTCACCTTGTGATGATAATCTTGCTGCCTGTAGATATAATTCTTTAACATCATCATATTCTTTACTGTAATATACAACAGACATGTATATATAGACAAATAGAGGACAGACTATAACTTACCCTGTTGAATTTTAATGTTTTATCTCCATCAAGTTCAAGTTTTTTCTTCATTATTCAGATAACCCAGCTATAGTGGGTACAAATTATCTAGAGTAGATCAAGGATCTGGTCAAGAACTACCTCTTTTTATTTTTGGTTTGACGTATGATTTCTCATCAATTGTCTGTGATTCCTGTAAATCCAGGAAAACTTGACTAGATTAGAAGATAATGGAATCACTATTCCAGATACATGTATATGATTGCATGAGCAATATTTTTCATATTTATGTCATACACTGGTAAAGTTTTTCTGGAATCCCATGAACTACAATTTTTGTTTTTCTACAAAATTCTTACCTATTCATAAATGATGAAGTAATTGGTGTATCTGTTAAATTTTCTTTGACTAAATGAGTATACTTAGGATTTTTCTGTAACCATGTTTTAAGAAAATGACTAGCATAACTTCCTAATGATTCATTGGTATAACTTACAGCCAGGGCCATGAGTGCAGTTAAATTACTAGGTTCTAATGCCACACATCTAAAATACAATAATAGTCTAATATAGAACACTGACAATTCAAAATAACTTCAATATTATTGACCTTAGTCCATCAGATCTGGTTGAGTTTCCAATTTAAAGTATATGAGCAAATTATGAAAACTGTGAACTGATCAGAACACACAGAATATTCTGCAGTATGAAGATCCTTGAGTACCTTTTAATTGCCAAGAGCTAATCTCAAGCTGCCAATGTGAAAATGACTGAAGGGCATCTTTTGTTGTAAACACACTACCCATGTGCAAACTACTTACTTTTTAAGAGCAGCAATGGCTGCTGGTTCCTGTTCATTTTCAGCCTGAGTCGTGCCTAAATATTGCCATGCCTGAAATAAGAAAAGAAGAAATATATAATTGATAATGTGAAATACAGAATGATTGTTCTATGCTAGAAACTTGCAAAGAATAGTAAATACTACACACAGGACAGTAATATCTTAATGAACAACTACAAATTACAAATTATTTTTCAATTCAACAGGTATGCCCCACACAGAATTTTCTTAAGCAACTGCTTGTGTAGGAAAGAGAAATTTCTGAAAATCTCAACACCAATGCTTAGCACAGAAATTTGCAACTATGAAATTCACAGAAATATTTTCATCTTTACAATTATGTACAGCACAGATTGTTTTAATCAACAGCTATGTATATAATGATAGCTTTGAAACAATGTACTATTTACCATGGCATGATTTTCATCTTTCTGTACAGCAGCTTCAAATAACAATACAGCATTAGGTATATCACCTTCTTGTAGCTTTTCCATACCAGCTTCAAATGGATTAGGGTGTTCTAGTAAAGGGTTTTCTGTTTCAAATGTATAATTCTAGGAGAAAACATAAAGAGAATATGCTATATGTTGTTCTACAGACATTGTAATAATATGGTGTCACATTCCAAAACTATCACCAGTCAACAAAAGTATAAACTAATTTATTTCTATTGGTTTGTCTGAGAGAAATTGTGCCACACGATATAAAACAATAAACTTAACCTAAATACTTATCAATAAGAAAGAATGAAAATAATTCCCAAATTAAACTTCAAAACATAATTTTACAAGATTATATTTTCTTAAATAAGGGTTGTAAAGGAGGCTTGGGTATAGAGGGGAATAGATGGGTATCTTATGATTTTTTAAGATAGGTATTGTGTATGCTTTGAGATAATAATTTCTTAAATGTATATATTAATAGTAAATAGACTAAAAAGAAATATCTTAATTCAAATGTAGTTTTGATCTCAATGAAATAGATGTGCACAATTATTTCTCTGCTCTACTATATATTCCGTCATGGATAGAAGTCAGAAAGGATCAAATGAAAGGCTAATATTGTAGGAAAAACATATAGTATATGTCCAGGGCAATCCATGAAAAAGATCATTTTAAAGGGAAAATAATGTTTTCAGTCAGTACCTTTTGACCCTTCTTCGACTTAAAAATATAACATAAAATATAATATACTGTATATTTGAGGTGATTCAATAATATAATGGTAAAATGATCAACTCTCCGTTTTTTTACCAAATAATTTTCATGCTTGCTTGCTTGACTTTAGTGTTTTGTTACTTTTAACCAAATTTGATAACATATAAATGGATATAGTCAGCATTTATTGGAAATACAAATATTTCAACTTACTTGATAGGGTTCTGTCTGTTCATAATCTGACAGCCATGGATGACCTAAATTATCTCTAGAAAGCAATAAATAATTCATCACATTCAGCATGTTTCAATATATAAAATTAAAACTACAAGCTTATAGCTTTAAAACCTTTATCTCAGTTAAACAAATGTCCTTCAAATGGATTTGATTTGCATCACTTTTGGAGAGACCAAAAAATATAATATACATAGTCAGACATAACCTAATGTTTGATGTTACTCAGAGTTTCAGATTCATCTATTTCTCTGTGTGTTCCTATTAAAGTAGTACTTGTTCTATTACCTGCACCTGGAGACAAGTTACAATATAACTGAACTTACTGGTCTGCCTGTAGCCAATGTTGTTGTAACTGATCCCAGAAATCTTTATCTGTTGTTTCAGCACCCTGATTAGACGAGAAATCTGAAAACTCTTCTTCCCATTTATCAACTAGAGATTTACCATCCTGTTAAAATAGACATGTCATGGCTATTACTTTCAACAGGACATCAAATTGTAGTGTATCTCTATATACATGGCATTTTCACAAATATTTTAACTATACTCTAACATCATAGGTAAAATTAAACATTATTGATAAAATTAATTTTCAAAAAAAGTTACAAACAAATGAAGTTCATAAAACAAAGATCACTCCCTCCAGTATTTTGGAATGTTCACATAAATTAATAAATTTCCAAAGTCATTTCAATTCAATCATGGGTAGGGTTCGCAACGACTGATCATTTGTTTAGGTCAGACTTCAGGTATGTTTTGGTAAATCTTTGATAAAAGTCTTAAGGCTTAAGTATCTATCAATTGTATATAGACTAAACACAGTTTATCACAGATTATCCCAAGTATTGAAAGATACGGTATACAGAGGTAAAATACCTGCTGCCTAGTAAATTGGTCAACCCATTGTTGAGATTCATCTACTTCTATAACTTTATTATCTTCTATTATTATATCACCATTCTCTATTTTCTTTACAAACTTTGCAAACTGCAAAATATATCAAGAAAATACATGGTGATGTAATAATATCATGATAATGTTAATCAAACAATTTTGAAAAATATTGAAACCTGATTTATGAAAAATATTTTAGTTTTAAAGCTGAAGTTTAAGAAATCTTTTGAGTTCACAGTCAAACTTGGATATATCTACATAATTGTGAATGCAATAAATAGATTCAGATAAGTTGCCAAAGTTGGTAACATTTACTGCAGTATCCATCATTCACATGTCTATGTTAACAAATATAAAAGATATATTTTGCAAAAGTCAACTACATAATTTTGTAACAACTTGATGAAATATAGTGGACCACAGCCATACACACCCAACACGGCATGCGGACGGTAAATATTCAAGATTTTGGGGCAAGGGTAATAACTCTTGCTTCTAACAGTCGAAAAATAGCTCAAATTCGAACTTGATCTTCGTTTTATAAATAAGTATACACATACCTAATTTCATTTAATTCCATCAAAAAATCTAGTTCTTAGAGCGTTAGACCGACGAACGGACAAGGGTGCTTATGTCCACATAGAGAGATGTGGGCGTATAAAAATCATCCAAGAGGGTGTATACACCAGCTTCGAAATAACAAGAACTGTGTTCAAATTCTACAGTATTCAGGGGGTTATCTTTATTTATGAACTTCATTTGCTTGTAACTTGTTTGAAAACTATTCCTTTTTCAATTTTGTTCACTATAATTTTCAATTAACTTAAATAAATATTTCAATATATGCACTGTAAAGTTGGTGCTCACTGTTACTTTAAATTAAACTGGGATCTGTTTAAAATACATAAGCATACAAGGTAAATGAAAATTAATCAAAACTAATGGTATATTTGATCATAAATTTCAGAAGATGCTCAGAAGAATCAGTAGGTGTATTAAGCAAAGGTTACCTGGGAATTAGCAAATTTTGGATCATCTAAATTACTAAGAAGATCAGATGCAGTTTTGTCAAGATCACCATCTCTGGTAGCTTGTGTATGATATTCATCAATCCATTTGGTATCGTCTAATATATTCTGATTATGTTCCTCTATCCTTAAATAAAAAAGGTTACAAAAGATTGTTTGATGGAACAAAGCTCTTAAAGAAGCACTTGTTATGTTTCTTTGTTTAAGTCTATATTGATAATCAATGATAAAATATCACTTCTCACTTCTCTTCTCTATGACTTTTTCATGTTTTGATCTTCAAATAATTTTAGAATGCCTAAAAGGTATAAAAGAAAGAGGTGAAAAAATGTATCCAATTTGAATTACAAGTGTTTTTTTTAAAATATGTTCTCAATTTACCAAGGTCTATTTTCTGTATTTTCTCAACTTAACAGGGTCTATTTTCAGTATGTTCTCAAATTACAAGTGTTTTTTATGTTCACAACTTAACATGGTCTATTTTCTGTATTTTCTCAACTTAACAGGGTCTATTTTCAGTATGTTCTCAAATTACAAGTGTTTTTACGTTCACAACTTAACAGGGTCTATTTTCTGTATTTTCTCAACTTAACAGGGTCTATTTTCAGTATGTTCTCAAATTACAAGTGTTTTTTATGTTCACAACTTAACATGGTCTATTTTCTGTATTTTCTCAACTTAACAGGGTCTATTTTCAGTATGTTCTCAAATTACAAGTGTTTTTACGTTCACAACTTAACAGGGTCTATTTTCTGTATTTTCTCAACTTAACAGGGTCTATTTTCAGTATGTTCTCAAATTACAAGTGTTTTTTATGTTCACAACTTAACATGGTCTATTTTCTGTATTTTCTCAACTTAACAGGGTCTATTTTCAGTATGTTCTCAAATTACAAGTGTTTTTTATGTTCACAACTTAACATGGTCTATTTTCTGTATTTTCTCAACTTAACAGGGTCTATTTTCAGTATGTTCTCAAATTACAAGTGTTTTTACGTTCACAACTTAACAGGGTCTATTTTCTGTATTTTCTCAACTTAACAGGGTCTATTTTCAGTATGTTCTCAAATTACAAGTGTTTTTTATGTTCACAACTTAACATGGTCTATTTTCTGTATGTTCTCAAATTACAAGTGTTTTTTATGTTCTCAACTTACCATGGTCTATTTTCTGTATGTTCTAAATATTCCTCTGCCCATTTCACTGGTGTTGGTAAATATGGCTGTCTATCTAACATCACCTCAGGGTTACTATCTATAGGTTTATCAAGAGCAAGGTATTCTTCAGCCCAGTCACCAGCTGCCATTTCTGCTATTGCTGGAGCTACAGTCAAAAGAAACCATTTAATAATAAAAATTATATGTGACTTATGAGTAAAAGCTGTTAATGATAAACTTGAGAATTGCAGTAAGAGTAAAATCTGATTCATTGATGCATTTGATGAATAATTCTATAAATAAGACTGACTGTCTTCTTTAATCATTATCAAATCATTTTTATTTATTTTATATATGTGTGGTTGTGGTCTCTTATTTCATTATTCCATGTAGATGTACTACCAACTGGATGAATCAAAATCCAACCAATCTGAGAGAACTTATGATAGTTTGTTATTTTGAGATTCACTAACTAAAGAATCTCAGGTCTGCACTTGAAATCTGATACCACAAGTTAAAATGTGGAAAATGACAATCTTTTCCACCAGTAGATTGATGTGTAAAAACATTATCATTACCTCTTTGGGGAGTATAAGATAATTCTGTTTCTTCAATTTCTCTCATTTCTTGTAATAAACTTCCCATATGAAATGTTTGTGGTTCCATGGTGGTTTGGTGATTTGAAAGAAACTCACTGACCAGCTACACCAAACAAAACAGAATAATAAATATTATTGAATAAGCCACACATAAAACAAAGTTTTATTAATGATTAATCATAATGATTACATTGAAATGAAATGAGGTTTTATGTCTCACATTTCTGCATCTGTTTTATCTAGGGCAACACCAAGCAGTGTGCGATGACCAAAATTTTTTCCAGCACAGCAGTATGTATAAGCCTACTCTTTTTCGATTTCCAACTGATGAGGGATCTTCAATGTGCCCAGCATTTGTTATTATTACTTTGGGTTTAGTGAATATAGTATAAAGCATAATTCTACAAATATATCATTTATTGTGATAGTTCTTGTACAAAAAAAGAAAATGATATACTTACATCAGATGAAGTTGGTAGAGTTTTAGGTTGAACAGGGCGAAAGCCATCCTATACAGGGAAAGAAATTAGTTAAATATTATATGACCCAGAACATGAGATGTTTAACAATTTAGTCAGATAATGGATAGCAGGTATAATTTCTTTAAACGAAACATCATGATTTACATTTTTATCAGATTGATAATAAAATAATATGTCAGATAATTTCAAGAAGGAAAAAAAATACCTGTTTAAATGCTCTGTCTTGTGTAAAATGAGAACCAAATTTCATAAGAGAATTGGAACCACCACAGTCTCCTTCTACAAGATGTCTGCCAGCCATTTTCTTGCTTTCAATCTTGTTTTTAATATAAAAAAAATTAAAGTTGAATAAAGTCAATCGCCTGAAAAATAAAAAAATTAACTACAGTGTTCCGACATTTTTGCAAATCCTCAGACTATTTTCACAGCTGACCAGGTAAGAATATGGCATAATTCTTTGAAAATGAAATGATTTATTACTTACTACTTTTCAGCACCTAATATTGTGCCAATGAATATGAGCAACTGCATCCAGTGGGAGGGAAATTTGTTGCCAGGACAGACGTATTTTACTTATTTCCTATTCTTTCGACCAAAGTTCTTTAATAAGCGTGCACCGCTTGTAGAACACGAGGCCTTGAAACTTTTTTCAAGTTAGCCCCTCCATAGGTTGGATCGTTGACAGAGGGAAACTACATTAAAAATGTGGTACAGTACATCTCGACCAGAGTTTAATCTTCAGGTAATATGCAAACAACACACTCACTGAGCCACCCCAGCTCTCCATGATTTGAGGATACCCCAATTTGAAGTTTTGTCATGTATGACAGCTATTGTGCTAGCAACTGGCATTGATCTTCTGGGCTATGGCTCTGAAGACTATTGACAATGTCTATGCCAGTTGATTTGTTTGTTGTTGAAGCACTCACTACACACACACTATCTACACAGTAAACTCAGTCTTACAAGCATTGCAGAAAAGACAATTCGGCCTATATCAGAACTCGAAAATCAAAATGACAATACAGTCATGATCTGAAACTTATTATGCCTACGTATAAGATACCAAAAGAAGCTGTACTTTGGAATACACAAGTAAATGTTTACTTAAACGAAAATAATTACCTTCAATCTCTCTCTTTGCTTACATTCTTAGGTCAAAGGTCAAATTGCGTTCGAGATGAAATGGGATTTAAGAGTTACTATGGACCGCGAGTAATTTTTAAATGAGATGTACTTGGCTCTATATCAGCTGGAAAAGTATATAACATTTACAGAATGTCTTGCTCTATCAATTGACGAATAAAATATCTAGAATCTTATTTGGGAATGGGATATCAAAACCCTGAATAGGGACAAATATCCATTGTATAGTTGTATCATAATATTGTTGCCCCCTCTTGATCTGTTGGAATTTCCGTTTGAAAATAGAAGCGGATACTTGCTTCTATCAACTGGTGTAATAAAAATAATAATAATGATAATAAAGTCTAACATTCATCCCATGGGGACAACATAATGAATGAATAAAAAAGGGTTTGCTATCATGATCAAAATGATAATATCAACTTTAACCGTTCACATAACCACAAACTTTGGTCCAACTAATAAAATAAGGAAATACCATATCTGGCATTAAGGTACTCATAAATGAGGTTTTGCATGACAACTTTACTGGCTTTAAAGTAACTATTTTCGGATGATATCGTGTGAAATTGTGTACATTTGAGTAAGATGACAAACCCTGGCGGAAACCTCATCACTCCTCTTGGACTATGTTATGAATAAATCGAAATTTTTCAACTGAACTTTTCCAATTTATTTTATTTTTTTAGCTGAATTTGGTATAGAATAGAGAATACTATTATTATAAAGTGTGATTAATCCTAAAGTAAATGCGAATTGTATATATGCGTAGGAATATGTCATGTTATTTAATCGGAAGTAGTTACGACGCCATCTTGGTTTGTTGACATACAGCACCAACGTCTACTGAAGATTAAAAATTGGAATAAGCTTGTATTTAATAGCAACAAGTCACATACTGTAAGCTATTTCATTTCAGGTGACCCCGAATTTTCTTGAAGAGAAGATGCCATCGAAAGCCGAAGACATAATGAGTGGTTTTAGCTTGTATCCTTTTTATTTACATTTCTAAATATTCAAGAATCAATGACGTGAATGTGACTTCTCATTGGTTTCAATATTCCATTTACACTATTCAACAATTACTGCATAACTAATGTCACATCGTCATTCAATCATTCAGTTTCATTCAGTCCTCATCATGCACAGAATAGTATTAATTCGACAACCTATTTACTTCATGACTATATGTAACATTGTAACAGGCTTCTCTTCAACTCTTGTCATTTGACTTGTTGCTAGTGTTAGGGCTCATTCAAACCACAGGCAGAGCAGGGTGGCACAGAGATGCGTGGTCAGGTATTCACATACAAAGCGAGCAAGGCAACCTAAAATCATTTATATTCTGGAACACTGATTTGCAGCATTAAAATTTTCAGTCAAACATCTATTGTTCTTGCAATTCCTCTAAACTAAGCATTTCCATAGCTTGTTGGGTATATTCCTTAACATATGATCACAAGAAATTGGATGAATCTTAGAGATGCTGATAGTGGTAAAATATTGTGGCAATCATCAGATGATTTGTAAGTTATTTTCTATACCATACTGTATACTGTAGAAAGATTTTTTGTCATACAATGCCATTGATTAATCTCCTTGGTGTTTATTTTGCTTTAAACGGTCTGCACAAAGTTTGATTTTTTGTTACTATCTGATCATCAAAATATGTTGAATTGCTATCGTTTCTATCAAAAGTAAATTTGTAAACTAATCAAAATTTAATGACAAAAACCATAGGCTTATATGTTGTATTTTCCAGGGCTGTGCCTGATGCTGAACATGAAGGTAAGTCTTGTTGACAAAAGTTCAGCATATTTCTTGTCATTCCTCTAGGGCAATATATCAAGGCCCTATGTTCTTCACAGGTTCCAGATTCCTCCAAAGGCCAATTCCCTTGGTTAAATTTTCCTCACACTATCTGGAGTAGCCTATTTTGAGAGCTTTGTCCAATTTCCCTGTTTATCATTTCACCTCTTTGAAAACTCCAAATTGTGACAATGCCTATGGCTCTTTAGTTTTCAAAAGATTTTTAAGTAAATTGGGTGTATAGGGATATGACAAAAAATTGAAGGTCAAGTGAGAAAGTTTCTGATATCACCTGCCCCAAGTTGAACAGGGTTGATACACTTTCTTATGTTATGTTATTTTATTACAGCTCGTGTACCAAAAAAGATCTTGAAGTGTAGAGCAGTTTCTAGAGAATTAAATTTTTCATCAAAAGAAGCTATGGAAAAGTTTAGACTGGAACAGAGAGTGCTATTTAAAGGAAAATGTTTAGAAGGTTGGTTTGTATAGATCTTATTCACATGTCAGCAATATTTGATACAGGACAAGGCTCATAATGCAAACAAACAAAGGTACCAGCGTGTCACTGCAGTAAAATCACCACATCTTTAAAATCTCTTTCTCCAATCCCACTAATTCAAAATTGTCTATTGTGTTAGGTTTTTTCTTTTATGCTTTAAACTATAAGTTTGTATTATGTACATTTAAACTGAATCTCCCAAAAAGCTGTACAAGATTCATTTGCTTGTAAATTTGTTAAGTACAGCCAGCTTAAAGATTTAGTTGCATGCTAGTAATTATTCTTGAGATAGTGGGGCCCTGTGTACTACATTCTGTACATACCGTACATGCTCCAACATGGTGTTCTGTTAAAATTTCTCTCACTGCATACTACATGGTATGTTAAGTAGTAATCCCTAAGATTATGATGTACATGGGTATCTATTAAAAAATTTAGATTGATAATCGATGGCAGACTATTGATCGTTTAATAATTCAAATAATTTAATTGAGAAATCCTGTAAATACTAAATTAAAAAAATGCCAAATGTCTTAATTTCGTGGGTTATTCTTGCCGATTGTGGGTGAATTATGTGCTGAAGGGAACCTATGTGGAAGAGATTACTACTTGTTAATGAGTACAGTGGAGAAAATGTTACTTTGACATATAATCGATTATGAAATTTGATAATCGATAATTGAAATAATAAATTTTTTGCGACGATAATCGATTATTTTGATCATTTAACCCAGTCCTACATACTAATGTACAAATGTGTATTTCAGATTGGTTCTTTGAGTTTGGTTTTGTAATACCTGGTTCTACCAATACCTGGCAGTCTGTGATAGAAGCTGCTCCTGAAAGTCAAATGATGCCTGCTAGTATACTTAAGTAAATATATCAAGATGTTTTTTTGCTAATAATAATTGGCACTCGACTTTATAGATATAATTGATATAAGTCAGAGAAGAGCTAGAGGAAATTGGACTGCATTTATGGGGATTTTTTTTTATTAATTAGAGGATAATTTGTGTAATTATTTTCTTCAAACAACTAATAGAGTTCAATCAATTTCAGCTCTCTTTAATACTTATCAGAAGTAAAATTTTACATCCAGTTCTCTTGCAATTCAATAAAAACAAGCTTCTTCAATCTAAATAATTTATATATCCATCAAAATCTGAATATTTCAGCATTAAGATATGATATATGTTTGAAAATGTTTTCTTTTACAGTGGAAATGTTTTAATAGAAACACGTTTTTTCGATGGTGACCTATTAGTGAGTACATCTAAAGTTCGAATATTTTACGTCTAGTTTAATTGAATTATATTATTACCATGGAAACCATTCTTCATTACAAGATATCACCGTTTAAAATGAGAAGACATTATATATGATGTGATTTAGAAGTGATGTGATGAACTATACATTGCACTGTTATTTTTCGTGAAAACTTTTTTATTGTGTATTGTTTCAATTTGTGTTTCTTGTGATAGTCCCAAATGGAATTTTTAAAAAAAGAATTTATCCATTTGTGCATTAGTCATAGTATGTAAGGAAGGCCACATAAAAAAACAAATTGGATAGATCAAAAGCACAGCATTAAGGGATTTGTTATAAATATTATAAATAAAATGTGTCTGAAAACTTGTATGGATTGTAAGATATGACAACTAGTCTCAAGTTTGTATATATTTTTGGAATTTTCTGTCAGAATGATGTCACATCACATTTGACTGCTCCATTGGCATTTTGCTTTGTAAAAACTTAAACTAAATTATAACAATAATTGTTTTAAAATCTTTATTTCAAATTTATTTAAAGTTTTAAATCAGAATGATGTTTGTCATATATGAGGAATTGTTAATTTGAACTGCAGCTCTAGTTGCAATTCAGCTATGAGTTAATGGCTACATTCCAGCTAAAAATGTAATTTCTAAACTTTCTCTTGTATGTTGAAAAGGGAATTAAAGTTAAGAAAATTGTGCTTAGGAATTAAGTCAATTTGGTATACTGAAATAAGATTTTATTTACTTCATGTATTACTTTTCACAATTCACCAAACTTTTTAAATTTTCAAGACTTTTTCAGCAAAATATTTTGAAGAATGACAGTCATTGTCTGAACAATGTAGAATGCCTTGCTTATTTCAGCTTGAATTGTTAGCTGAAATTTCTGTCATTTGGTACACCAAATAGTAATTCCCTGTGTAATATTAAATGTCTTGAAATGTTTCATGTAAGCTTATCCATTGTATATATTTGTTGCTTGAAGTCTTGTGCTTGTTTATTTATACATCATATGCTATAGTTTTGCTTTAAAGGGAATTTTGGATATTTATTTACTGTACTCTAATGTAAATAAGATAAATTTCAAGGTATGGAACAGTAGGCATAAATACCTTAGCCTATATATAACAATGGATACCAATTACTTTCAAGTTGTATATTGTGAGTAATTGTAATCGTCATCATATACACTGAAGTGTTTAGATTGTTTGCACCAATTTTGCATTTAGTTCACCTGTTTCTGAGCAAGGTATAATATTTCTAAAATTCAGAATTCTAAGATCAAAGGAGTTCTAGTAGTTTACAGTAGGTAGTGGGCATTCTGGCGCCAATTTTCCCTTTGCCTTGTGATCTTTCCTTTTTTTAATTTTCATTGCAAAAAAGTCACAATCTTTTGAAACTTTTTCTAAAGTAATTGCCACATAAATATTTAGCCCTTCATATTATGCAATATTATATTTTTAACAGTCAGTAATCCGTCCGAGGAATGTTCTATTTATTTATATTTGTATGAAGGTTTGAAATCTGTTGGTTAGTACAACAGGGACTGAATATCAATTGACTCTTAAGTTGCCTGGATGCTAAATTGTAAATGGATTTTTTATATTACTTTCTATTAAAAGAGCTCAAATTCAAGTTATTTCATTTTTATTTCATAGGAAAGATTGGCAATGAAGTTATTGAATGAAGTAATTGATGTGTGTCGTGTGATTCACAATCTTACTGTTGTTAGAATGCTCAAGTTTTTAGAATCTTATTTAAATCTAAGCCGATCCCTTTAATCAAACTTTTTAATTACTGGTTAACCAGACATCTGCAAAGAACAGTCAATAATAACCAGGTAGCACCAGGCAGTTACTGTTTGAGTACTACTTGCATTGCTTGTCATTTGGAGTGATAAAGATAATATAGAGCACATTCCGATATTCTTTTGTTTTGATTTTACTTTACAGTTGAGAGAGGCTTTCATTATTCATTTATGTTATTTGGAATTGATGTTTGATATTACATATTAGGTTTTATATCAATTTATTTATGAACTATTATTGGTTCCAGATCTAATAGGGACATAGTATCACTTGTGGAACTACAGTTCATACGAGGTTTGCCCTTGTCTTACTGACTGGGCTGCTTGATTCTAAAGAATTCCAATGAAGTAAACTGCCACGAAATACAGAAGCGGAATTGGCTTTGTCTTTTTTATGTAGAGCTGCAACCATTTGGTTTTGTCTAATTTATTTTAACACACAAAATGAATTTTTTCTTATCAATAGAAGGTTTGATATGTAAATAGTCTACATGAGCTGGCTCATTTTGATATACAAATGCCCCAAAATACAAAATTCCAGTTGACACTTTCAGATCTTCAGTAGTCCATGATTATGGATTTAGCCAAATCAACGATAGCTTAATGATGTTCTATATCAGTTCAATAAGGTTTAAATAAAAAACATAATGGACATATCTGGTATGTTCTAATCTAAAATTGTATAAATGTGACATTGTTATTTAAATAAGTGTTTATTATTAGAAATTTATTATTTGTTATTGTGTATTATTTTAAGTTTTTGCCTCATGAAATAAATTTATTGATCAGTTTATTTACTAAGATTGTCTTTATTTAAACTGTAAAATGGACAGCAAATGTATTCAGTGGTCTGTTTAATATCTTAAAATTTGACTTTTCCAGTCGGATTGCCCAATTGTTTCCACCTCCGTGCTCCTTGGTAGCAATTTACTCTGTGAAATGGAAGCATGACGTCAAAAAAGCAATCACATTCAGGACGGGATGTGTGGAATGGACCAAATTGAAGTTATAAGTATACCCGATGTACATACTAAGGCTATGTATATATTCAACTTAGGTATAGCGCATATCCGGCTGAATGACCACTTGATCAGAACTCTATTTTGCTGTTTCTGTCGAATTCAGAGAAATTTTTACGTATTTTAAATGGTCGATACAATAAAACATGGGATAGCCATAGCGATGTCAGTTGATGTCCATCTCTCAAATCTTCCGTTGAGATAATGAAATAAACGCCAAAACAAATGACATAATTTGTCCATAACTTTATGTTTGTGGTAATGGAACTTCAGGATAATGTCAGCAGACCAAATTCCGTCAATTTCCTGGTTCCTGCCATTCCAGAAGAACGCAAGATCGTTGTTATCGCAAATACCATTTGAACTTAAAAGTTATGATATGGGATGATGATGCTCTCATTTAGTTAAGTTTTTCGGGAATTACAGGAACCACAGACTTGACCGATTTCCATGACATTTGTCGTCTTCCTAAGCTAGACAATGTGTTGAAATATAGAACGCAAATTTCATTTCATGCATGTTGGAATTAACTGCGGCTAAACTGTTACAATTAAATCCATGACTTTCTGCACGTATTCCATCTCATTCACATATTATGTTAATAATAGTCAATAAGAAAGGTAACTGTTGGTGCTTATTAAAGGAATACTACCGTTTACAATTGATATAAAATTTAATGGCTCAAACTTGGTCAACAAGTGTATATATTCATCAGTTGGACTTACCAGGTGCCATGACTAAATATTAGAAACTCTATATTATAAGATGATATATCATCATTCAGCTATCAATAAATAATTATTGAAGCAGGCTTCCGAATTACTCAGTTTGATGAATTATACTCAGTTTTATGGATTTATTGGATCATGTTGGGATTATTTCGTATAGTAATGGCACCACTGACGGAAAAAGGCTCATTTTGACCAGGTTTAAATATTTCAATTTTTTTCGGTCATCCTGAAAGGTAGTACATGTATAATTTTAATGAAGCATAGTCGTCTTGATTTTATTTTCCCAGCTGACTCAGAAATAACTCATCTTCAGTTATCACCGCAAGAGTAAATCATACACCCGTCCACAAATAATAATAATGAAATGCTACGCCGGGGATGATGGTGGTTTGCGTACCAGGTCGGATTTAAATATTGAGCAATACTAATCACATACAATAAAAACCAAAATATACAATATAGGACTGAATAATATTTGTTTATTTCAGTTATCATTTGATTTATCCTTACAACGATAATTTCAGAACTTTTGAATAACGTTTTATTCTTTTGAATAAGCAACCTTTCATCGATAAGAACAGTTTTACATCTTTTCTTGCTCAAGATATGCTTCGTGTGATTTTTGCATTTTTTAATAAAGATCTGGTAACTAGAACATATGAAATAAGCCAAATGGACAAGTTTTGATTCTTACTTAATCGTACGTATACTATGAGGTAACTATTTTTTGATCACAATTTTAAAAAATTATGTGCCAAAAAAGTCCATTCCGTTAAAGTGGTACTATACGTCTTAGAATGAAAATAAAATTTGAGTTCTCGAAAAGGTCAATATTAGTCTATATTCATCAGTTAGCTTACCTGGTGTCATAAAGCTACAACAGAATCCCCGTAAAATCTGAAAAATTTGAAAATTCACAAAAATAAGTAATTATTGAAAAACGCTTAATCTTAATATTAAGCTTTTTTCAATAGTTAATTGCATATTTATGGATACTTACTAAATTTTTGGGATTTATTGGATTATATAAGGATCCTGTTATGTTATTTATGACACCAGGTAAATCTACTGGCTCTTATTCGCTAAGCTATGTCATTCTGAGACGTAATATCACTTTAAGGGCGTGTTTTAGGTCATATTATTGCAGGATGCTCCACTGTTAAAGGGAGAGGTAATTATTATTACTGATTGGCTAAGAAAAAAAAGAATTCCCGTTTCTGAGACTAAAGTATGATTGGTCAATAAAAAAAATGGAGCATCTCTGTTCCTTTAAGACGAAAATAATAATCTTGTGGATACGAAATATAATCAGCAATCGCAATTAAACGGAAGACATGTAATATCATGAAATTATTGTGTATATTTTATTTTGAAATGCATCCTTGATTAAAAATTTACAGATACCGCATTCAATTTCTTTAGAGCCTCCATTTGCCTATATCATGTAGCTATAACACGTGAATTGCAAACGTGAAATATTATGCATAATCAGTAATAATTCACCCTGGGTATATGCAATTCAAACGAAAAATGTACATGCCTAAGCTCGCTTGTCGCCAGATATAATATACAGCCATGTGAACAGATGGTATTAGAACTGCTCACTGCTCAAGTTCACTATAGTACGGGTGGTTCATTAGTCTAGGTCTGCAGTCAATTGTGTTTGTTGTTTTGATATTTTAGATATCAACTGATTTGGTCGAAGACAAGATATCGAAGATTGGAAATGTAGGTATTAAATTTGTTAACGCGTTTCCCTTTTCTAGAAGCATATAGTCTCTTAGTGAGCTACTTTTTTTTTTATATATCATAAGCCAATAGTATAGGAGATGACTGGTATAAACGTACATTAAGAGACGATACTCAACAGACACGTAGCTCGAGATTTAGAAAGAATTTCCGGTAGAAAATAGTCTCAAAAGTTGGCCATGCTTATGGAGGTGATATTTATGTAAAAATATAGTGGAAGAGTAGGTATAATTATTAAGATATAATCAAATAAGTTTTATATTTTGTGCTGAGAATTCGCCATATTTGATTGAAGTAGAGTTCAATGGTTAGGTCGTTACTATAAATAGATCCTTTCCTTCAATATCCCTATTATAACCAAGTTGTATGAAACAAAGAAGATAAGGGTTAGATTTCAATAATTTACATTGCGTGGAAATATGTGTTAATTTCCATCCTACGAATAGTCAGGCGTATATTTTTAAAAGATGTCAACAGACTACATATATTTTTTATAATTATGAGCAAATAAGTAAAAATATATTTTGCACTATCTTTTTCATATAGAAGCATTTTCACGTTCAGTTTCAATCACAATAATTTTAAGACACAAAATAATTAATTTTTTTAAACGTTTTTTTTTTTTGCCCTGTTGATTTTTTCAGGAAATATTGACTTATTTCCGGTTTCACGACTCCCATAATAGCTTTTATGGGAATTATTGTGCAATGCATTGATTTTTTATTATGCATAGCTTACTTATCTACCCGTAGGTCTACTGAGCATATATAAGTTTGTTGATTCATGTGGCACATCAAACAAAAAAAATGTACTTGCATTTAGTCTAAAATTGAATACGAATCTTAATATGCTTGGTGTAGGCCTATAGGCATATATCGACTAAAGAAAACTGTCGTGCTAAGCACAGTCACTGCATAGGCCTAATGGCAAGTCGTTGGGTTACGGTCTACCTTTGCCGTCTATCTGGTCACAGTAATCATTCTAAAAATTAAAAGTGCTTCATTTTGACCAATCATACTTTAGTCTCAGAAACGGGAATTATTTAGCTAAGCCAAACAGTAATAGTGTCCACAGCTCACCGTCGAAATTTGAGCCATCAATTCCATGTCTATCTAGAAATATCCGCGTTTCAGTGTTAAAATGACGACTCGTCATCATGAGATACTCTGTGATATATAAAAAAGACATATATTGAAATAGTGAGTAAAATTCCTAATTTGAAGTATTTTTAAAGGAATTATGCATGTACATGTCTAGTAGCCTACTTCTAAACACTATTTACATATATTGAAGACTAAAACAAACCCCTCAAAATGCTATATCTGTTCCTTTAATACGTAATCCAAATCGTTCTGGTTTCTGACAGTTTTTAAGCTCCATTTTCCTGTATCCCAATCCCGTACCCTCTTGCGACGTTCTGACGCGGCAAGTAGTCAATAATTCAACGATTAATATCCATAAATTGAATTGCTCAGCAATACAAAACAAAATTTCGATAAGCCATCTCAGTACCCCTTGAAGTGCTCACCGTAACCCCCCATGATGTACATAGGATTCCTGTTTCGGAACCAGGCCTCTACTTCGACGATAACCTTATAACCATATCTTTTAATCATCTAAAAATATCATTTTTAAAGGGAATCAAAAGGCGAACATGTGAAGTAATGAAAATGGCCATGCAAATGAACTTTTTAAAAGTTTTTATTTCACAAGGCGAAAGGTCGAACAATTCGAAGCGACCGCAGTCAGCCAAAAAATCCCTAGATGGAGCGAAAAACCGGTCCGCAAGATATAAAACTTTCTCGGAATGCAATATATAACTTTCAAGGAGTGCAAGATATAACTTTCTCAGACAGAAGATATAACTTTCTCGGACTGCAAGATTATAAGATCTATGGAAAAGTTTCGTCATTCGCATGGAACAATAAACCTGGTGTTCTTATGCCATAGTCAAACTTTTCCTCGTTGCATTCATGTGAAGGAACAGTTACATGTACAGTGGGTCGATCTGGGAGAAAATTCTCCGAGATCCATCAAACAACTTTTCAGTTCAGCGTTGCTCAATACAGAGAATACCTTATGTAGGTTCTATTAGAATTATATATAGATATCTATTGACATATAGAGGAACGTGACTGTAATCATGTTTAAACAAAATACCTTCACTATGCTTATGACCAATAAGCTAATTATGCAAATAGTCATGTTTTTTTTGTTTTTTTAGCTTGTTTGGGTTAATTTTGTCATTTGAGACCAATAAAATATAGAAAAGTAGGACTCTATTGTATTTATTTATACAAAGTTTATTATGACCGTTTCCAGTTCCATTAATCAAATTATCTGTCAAGGGCTATTTTTGTGAAATTTTTTAAAGTAAATATTTGGACGCGCGCGGAGCTTTAAAATAAAATCGAAAATAGATCTATAGAGGAAATAGAATCGTCGAAATGGGTTTTTTTGGATGGAAGTAGATCTTGGATTTTTTTTTTTTTCCTGGGGAAGCATTTACAAGGATTAATGAATTATAACTGAAAGTAATAAAAAGGTCGTGTTTGACTTTCTTTCTTCTCGGTTCTCTGTTATCCAGTCTCTACTTTGAGTTTATTAATGCCTATTGACACGAAGCGACTGGATAACGTCTATATGATTGTTTCCATATCAAGTATTGCCAAAATGGCGGATGGGAATGGTTGAGAGATTAAGTGTGCTCTGCACGGTATCTTTAAGAGCAAGCTTGCAATCAGTTTAGACTGGAGTGTAAATTTGACCGAATTTGTCTTCAGATGTGTTTGTTTAGAAACTATCTCTAATTGCATAGACAAATAATGTAGGCTATAGTATGTGGGTGTATTTTTAAAGTTATTTATGTTTTGTTAACTGGTACATTAAGGTTAATACTTTTACTAGGCAAATAGTTACTTTGTGACAAATTAATTTTTTATATGAAGAATAGGTTGGATAATTAATAATATAAAGCTGTTTTGCTGAATTAAAAAAAATAAAATGTAGGCTAACAAGTGAGTGTATTGTTTTACAAAAAAACCACAAAAACGTGGAAAAAGGTTTTTGAAAAATTTAAATTATTATCCAATACCTGTATTTAACTCATTGCCATTGGATATATGGCCCGAATTTTTGTTATGTTTTTTCATTCTCTATTAAGTAATTCTTTTCTCTATGAAGTAATAAATATTGATTATTTGATTACATATGATATAATAACTTACACACCTTTGTTAATTAATCTATCAAAGAAAATTATAAAAATATCCTAAATTTAAATAAATTTTTATGATTCCATCACAGATTTGGTAAAAACTTATGGTGAAAAGTGAGGGATTTCAAAGTAATTTTGAAAGTCTATTCTAAAGCTACCAAAAACAAAAACTTATTATATTGAATTGATGTATGAAAAAGCCCATATTAGCCTATATATATTAGGCTATTGCAGAGCCCAAAATGATAATACACCCAAATGAATGTGAAGCATATTTTGGCATCACCAATGTCAGTCTGTCAATCCAAAAATGTGTGTAAACACTTGAGGAAAAAATTTATGTCATATGATCACACAAGATGACATTGACAAGACAGGATGTACCTTATTGAAATCAAAAACATAAAAAATATTCAGAATGAGTTATTACCCTAGTTCTAGGAAGCACATTCAATTTTAAGTTCATAAAAACTGTTGAGGGCAAAATATTTAATGTGAGTTATGTCCTAGTTCTTTGAAATTAATTTATGAAGAAATAGTTAAACAGTTTAAAATGATAAATGTTAAATCTTTTAATCACTCAATTCTTGATGAATTTGACAAAACTTAGTGATATTGTTCATTATCTCACCTTATTGAAAACCATTAAAATAAGAAAAATAATTGAGTTATTGATCTTGTTCTTTGGAGCAAACATCATCAGTTATGTCTTCTTGCTTGGTAGTACTTGATGGACTTCAAGTTTTTTTATTATGAAGCATATTTCTGTTTTTACAGAGCATACTAATTACTGAGTGATTTTCAGTAAAATCTGTACATGGACACCATTTTATCGGGATGATTGTTAAAAGACTTTATAATTTCAATTAATAGTTTGTTCACCCCATTTTATCTTATTACAATTTTTCAGTAAAATGTTCATGACAGAGTGGAAGTTTTTCTAATTGTCATCTCAATATGGAAGAAGTGCAAAATTTAGAAAAACCAAATGAGGTAGAATTTCGACCATCTGAAGTTGAGATAGGAAAACAAGGTAAATTATAACTCTTGTACCAAAATTGCAACAGTGTTTGTTAATGAACTTATCAACCAAACTGCTCAGTAAAAGCTGCACAGTCAATAGATAATAGTTAAGGGTCAAATGTCTAGTTTGTGTTGAAATTAACGGCTGGAATTTTTTTACTTGAATCTTTCAGATGTATTAAAGGACACATTTCTCCAGATTTTGGTGTATATTTTGAGGGAATTTGAGCACAAAAATTTTTGACCTTGTAAAAAAAGCAGAATGTCCCTTTAAATGTATGTCATACTTTATTGTTTTAGGAATTTGGTGTATAAAGAAAATAAAAGAAGGAACATTGTTTGGACCATATTGTGGTGAAATTGTTCTTCATGACAAGCAGGGACTACTTGATTATAGATATGCTTGGGAGGTATGTCACATAACATTCAATTAAACCAATTTGTCTCTATTTGATGGAGTTTTAAGATAACCAATTAGATTTCTTGCTTTGTATATTTCATATCTGCCCGTGCTCATTAATTACCAAGTTATTTGACTGTGGTGAAAGAGTTTGAAAGCCGACACCAGACTGACCATCATAAACACTGGCTGTAGCATCAGAATTTTTCTTACCTATAAGATTCTAACCCACCATACGTAATGGCCTAGCAGAAGACTATCAGACTCACTACCAACTATTTTACTATCACATAATTTGGGACTTTCTGTTTCACCTGATTGAGCTAGCCTATTATCACCTGACATGTGGTTTATATATTGTAGGTATGGGATTTAGAGAGTGATAAATTATTATATATTATAAATGCTGATAAGAAGAATATTGGTAACTGGATGAAATATGTTAATTGTGCCAGATATTTTGAAGAACAGAATATAGTTTCAGTACAAATTGATAATGAAATTTATTACAAAGCAATAAAGGTAAGTTAAAGCATAATTGAATGAGGTTAAAATGAAAATTTTTTGCAAGTTACTTGAGCTCACCTTATACATAAACATGCTATTTAAGGCAAGGCCAGCAGTTTAGATAAAAATCAGATAACCCTGGATCAGGGTTGTTTATTATTTTTTCGTCAGTCGGTCATGTCTGGCATATAGAGCCAAATCAACATCCCTGCCCTGGAAAGATAAGTGAAAGTTAATATAGTAAAGGTCATTACCAAGAGCTTTGGCCAAAGACTAGCTGGCAAACAGGATCTTTTAGAATTTGTAAAATTGACCCAACACTTTCACACTAGACTATACATTCTGTATTTTACAATGAATTGTTTCTTGGGGATGGCCATGTCAAAGTTAACTGCTGTGTGGGTATATATAATGGAGACCAAATGTGGATGATAAAGACATTACATGTACTGTCCTCACATTTTTATGGTTAATAGATTTTTCATTCTAAGGCTATCATATCTACTCTGGTGATGATATTTCTCATAAAAAAACTGCTTATTGTAGGATATAGAAATAGGTGAAGAATTATTAACCTGGTTTAATTTAATTGATAAAAATGATGATTCTTTGATTCTTCCAAGTAAGTAACTTTATATATAGAGTAGTTAAAGATACCATACCAAAAATAGATTGTCATCACTTGTTCATGGGCTTGTATGATATTACTACCCATTCTCCCTTTATCAGTGTTGCAGTTTGCAGAGATTTACATGAAAATAGAACCCATTCTCTACAGGCTGTGTATGTTTACGATTCTTTATACAATTGAAAATTGATCAAGAGAAGGCTGGTGCTGCTGTCCTTGAAATATATTGCTGCATCAATTGAATACCAAAAGGCTGGACATAAAGCTACATTTCTTTTTATTTTGATTTCTCCAACTAAATTTGTAGTGGGATAATGTATATAATGTGTTCAGTAATTTATCATGCCTCTATAACAGTTTACTCTATAGGGATATCATAATAAGAACTATTTGAATATTTTTTCAGTGGAAGAGGAAAAGAAGAAACATACTAAAAAAATGCCATCACCAAAAAAATCTCCCAAGAAATCACCCATGAAAGCTATCAGTACCCAGACCTCTCCATCCAAAACCAAAATTGCCTCTACATCACCAGCCAAAAGAAAATCTCCTTCCAATATGGATGCAAGTACATCAAATAGTAAAAAGCAAAAGTTTGTTCAAACAAGAATGAATTTCAAAATCAGCAAAAAGCCTCGCGACAAAACTAAGAAAAATGTGGAAAATGAAACAGTCTTGAACAATGTGAATAGTAACAGTATGAATGGAGAAACAACAGAAGAAGTTGCTAAGCAACTCTTATCAAAAGATGATAAAAGAATATTCAGGTTTCATACTCAGAAAAAACACCATTTTGTCCAAGATGGAAAAAAGATGTATAAATGTGAGTTGTGTAGTGTGGTTTATAAAAGACCTTTTAGTTTGAAGCGCCATTTTTTACGCAGCCATATCAACTGTATGTATTTATGTGAAACAGATGTAACAAATTGTTGCATTGATCTCGATAATCAACTAATGCAAATTGAAAATGCTCAAAATCTCCAAGCCTCAGGTAGTTGTTTATTTAATGGTTTGATCCGATCTCACACCTCTAGTCCAATGCAAGATGAAAAGCTCATTGAGAGTGACTCTAAACTCAATAAAAAAGATTCAAAAACCCAGGAAATCGATTCCAGTTTTCCTGGTCTATATAAATGCAATGACTGTTTCTTTGTGTTTGATGATAGTAAGGATTTAGTAGCTCATTTCAAATGCCACGATTCCAAGATTGGTACCAAGACTCCTCGATGCCAATCTACTGACAAGAAATATAATTCCAAACAGAAGAAATCACTGACATTACCATACTCATTAAAAGAATCATTTGATTCCTTGTACATATCAGAAATTCCAGAAGGTACCAAGCATCTCAAGTCTCCTAAAAAGACATTTGAAAAGTCATCAATGAAGACCTCGCCATCAAAAAGATTTTCAGCTCTCGAATCTAAAAATTTACCACAAGAAAATGAGACAAGCCCAGTAAGTCCATCTAGATTGTCCAAAGTGAAATCTCCAAACACAGATAGTAAGGAGGTTGTGAATGGGAAAGGAAAATTAACAGTTGCTGCAACTCCTACCAAAAAGTCCTATCCCAATTCTATTAAGCAAGTTAAAAGGTCACCATCAAAGAGCAAGTCAGGATCTATTAATAACAAAGAATCACAGTCAACCAATTCTCCTATGAAGAGACTACATTCCTTAAAATCACCAGGGCGAAGGGAAACTCTTGCCAAGTCAACATCTCAAAAGAATACTCCATCAAAAACCAAATTCAAATCACCAGCAATAGAACCGTCAATAAAATCAAGCTTACGTAGCAGAAGTGGAAGTAACTCAAGGTCTCCTCAGAAGAGGGAAGATATTGGTGAAAAGAAACAAAATTTTGGAACACCAAAGAAGAGTCCACTTAAATCACCTGGCAGAAGGCCCAACTTTTCATCACCATTTTCCCCTAAAAGACGTTTTGGCAATAAATCACCTCGAAGATCATCTTCAAGAAGCCCCATCAAAAGAAAGGCACGAGGTAGCAAGTATGTGAAAACTGAATTCAAGAAATTTTCCTGTACCAGATGTAAGGTGAAGTTTTCCCGTAAAGCAAATTTAGATAAGCATCTCAAAGAACACACAGGTAAGTTCATTTCCATTTTTCTTTTTATGCCAAGGTGTCTGTTATGTGCAAAAGCTTTTGCACGCAGGGCCTTGATTATTGTCCTATCTGACTTTCAGAAACGTCTTGGTAAATTTGAAAGCAACTTTCTCAAATCCACCTCTGGTTCAGTGCTTAAGCACTTTCTGTTAAACAAGCAAGTGAGTAATAGTTGATGGAATCCTGGCACTAAGTGTGTATATGATTAACAACCATGATGATTATGCAAGGACAATGAGTGAAAGTTTATCCATTTACCAAATACACATACTGAAGAAGTGTATATGATGACCAAATGTCAAAGAATTACGTTCACACTTATTTCTTTTTTCAGAAAATAAGACGTGCCCATGTTATATCTGTGGTAAACAGTTCATGAGTGAAACCAAAATGAAGCTACATATCAGATACCATTTTAGTCAAAATGTCAGGTGTAGACATTGTGACCTCAAGTTTCCAAATGTGGGTGCCATGAGACAACATTTAACAGAAACACACAAAGACGTCTGGTTAATCAATAGTAAAACAACAGAAAACACTGACGAGTCTGGAAAATCAAAAAAGAAAAGTGGGCAGAGACATAAAGACAAAATAAAAGTTGTATCTGACTTAGATTTTCGAAGTAAAGAAGCTCTGTCTGAACTACCTAAACCTGTATCAATAATACCAAAAAGTGCCACTAAGATCTTGTCACCCCCAGCTTCTCATAATAATTTCAAAGTATTGAGTTCTCCAGTTGCAGTATCTAAAAAGAAAAATGCTGGTGCAACATTGGATAACAGCCCTGCACCTAATGGGTACAAATCTAAATTGCGTTATTGCTGCTATACTTGTAAAAAGCGTTTCATCAGTTATTATGCCTTAGTTCAACACCGACGCACCAATCACAGATATAACATCTTCTCAGCTCCATCAATGTTACTCCACATGAAGCAGAAAGTATCTGAAGAGAAGAATCCTTTAGGAAATATGCCAATTTTGTCACCACCAGTTACACCTGACCCATACTATGAGACAGTTCCAGAAAATGTGTCCAACAATTGGTCAACTCATATTGATGGCAAATCTGAGGCCTTGAAAAACTATCGCAAACACATCCAAATCAAGGGCTACAGATCTATTCATACAGTGGCTCAGTATAAACCAGAAGTTTTCAATTGGTCATGTTATAACTTTCCATTTCATTATGAACCATATGAGAGTGTGATTGGTTACAATAACTACAAACCACAACCAATAATAGCTGAGGATCTCAGCTTAAATAACAGTATTATGGATTCTCTGCATAATAAGGTGAACTTTACACCATTAAAATTAGACATATCATCAGCTGAAGCCGCTCCTATCTTACCTTGTATGACAAGTCCATTGGGACAAAATCAGCAAAGAAGATTTTCAAATGATAGTGACTCCAAAAGCATGCCATCTCTTTCTCCAACCTGCCAGAACACCAAGTTCTTCAGTGATGTGACTGAATCTAATGGTATTCGAAGGGACAGATATTCGGATACCTGCACAGATGATTCAAAATCTTGTCCATCATCATCAGGGATGGTGACAGATGAACATTCTGCAGTTAAGTCCAACGGAGATCAAAGTGCCTTCAATAAAACTAGTGTAAAAGACATTGAGAATGAATCATTTGTGCCTACTCTTCAGTATCTAAACCTAGTGAAAATGTCAGATAAAGAGACAATAGAAAGTGCTATACAAGCTGCCAGTAGGACCACTCCCGCCCAAAGTTATCAGAGAGACTTCAGTGACAGATTGAAAACACAGAGTTGGGAAGGGTATTACAGTGATATTGAATTTGGCAAACTGGGCGACATAGTTAATGTATGTTCTGTATGCTATAAATATTTTGATTCTGAAGAGACCTTAGTGCGGCATCAGTGGACAAGACATTCATCCATGAACTGTCGCCATCTTCAAATGGAAAAGGGACACGATATTGATAATCTGTTTTATCCATGGCCACGAAATGAAGGAATGGTAGCATCATCTACACCTGTTCCTGAAGACTGCCACACACTGGACTCCTATAAATGTAGCTACTGTAAGAGCGGTTTCAAGAATATTAACCGTTTGCATGTCCATATTATATCTTGTGATCCTAAGAAACTTTATTATGTTGAAAAAATGTCTGTGAAAGAGAGAAGGAAACAGGAAGCAAAAGAAAGGAAAGCAACTACTCAAAATATTGATACTACAAAAAAGAAATCCGCAGCATCAGAAATGAAGATGAAATTGGATAAGAGACGCAAGAAGGAAAAACTGAAAAAGCTTATTCGTGAAAAGCAGACTGCGGTGTTTCCAGCTAACAATAAACTCCCAATTAATGTTAATAAAACTCAACAGGGTCTGTCCCCTCGATCATTGAGGGAGGTTAGACGAAATGAGATGGACCTGTTATCAAATAGTGACAGCAGGGTAACCAGGCAGAGGAAACGCAAGAATTATGAACTTCTTTATGTTCCAAAGAATCATGTCAGAAGGAGAACAGCAACTAAAGTGGTAGAAACACATCAATGCAGTGGTTGCTCTTCAAAATTCCGTACATTATTTCTCTTAGAAAGACATGCCAGAAAATGTAGTGAAAAGGACAAACTCTTATTTGATGCTTCAATTGAAGATCATGATACAAATGTGAATTCAAAAACACAGGCCTGTGAATTTTGCAAAAAGAAATTCACTTATGTTAAAAGTTTAGCAAATCACTATAATAACTTTTGTCCTGTGAAAAAGCAAAAATTGGCCAGTGAAGAAATTGAGGAGGCCACAGTGATTGAAAGTGAATTTAAATCTGAAACGACACAAGATGATGTTGATGATGAAGGAGATGCTGACGATCTTTCTGAAGAACCGACTAAAAGACGCTGTGGATGGCCGAAAGGATTGAAAAGAAAGAATAGGCGTAAGAATCATTCATGGACAATAACAAAAAGGAAGAAAACTAGTTCGGATGAATCGGATATGGACAAAAACAACCACAAAGAGGCTCACAAAGGAGAAGACAAGATTGAAAAAGATTCCATTCAGGACGATGTTGAACAGGATTCAAACGATTCAACTAACATCCTGCCCGGTGACACTAGTGCAGATGATGAACCCTCACCCAAAGAGAAGCGGAAAGAGGTTACTGAGGACTCATCAACTAATGTACAGAATGGCCTGACAATAAAAGAGTCTGCCGCGACAATGGACATTATTAAAGATAAAGAAATGTCTGCTAACAGCTGTGTACAAATCGATACTAAACCTGACAACGAAAGTTATATTGCATGTTCTGAAGTAGTACCTGTGTCTGATGATCAAACAGAAATATCCATTTCACCAAAGCTAGCGGATAACTCGATGAGTCCAGTGTCAGACAACCATTGTACCGAGAAGAATCAAGGTCTCCATACTAAACCAGATCAAAACAGCACCCAACATGTTCAAATATTACTTCAATCATCCAATACGAAACTCGACGGAAAAGTGGAAGACAGTAAATCTGAAACTGGAAGTTACGTAGATCAAAATCCAGCAGACATTGCTGACAATGGATATCATAGTGATAATTCAAATTCTAATTCTAACTCCAAAAGTACCAAACTAGAAGCATCATTGAAAAATGGACACATCCTGCTTGAAACGAAAATAAACTCTGAATTAGGCATGTCTTGCCTCAATGAGAATACAGAATTTTCTACTGGATTTAAATCCTCTTGTGAAAATGGACATTCCTGCACTAGTGATTTAAACGGTTCATCTTCCATAGACAATACACTCCCTGTTGTGCTGGAGAATCAAGTGCCTTATTGCATTAAGCAATCGGTAGAATCAGTTTGTCTTATTTCAAAGCGCAATCAAAAAGTTGGATTATTTGAAAACAACAAACCAAGTTTGAACTCAACTGATTCTTCTGTGTTTTATGAAAATGGGATCAACTCTCATGAATCCATAGAAAATCCTCGTAAAGAATTGAATAACACACTTGTCCCTTATCAAAACGGTGATGAGAATTCAGAAATGTCTAATGAAAGTGATCTTATGAATGAATCAGATCAAAATGGATTCTACAGTGCGGACACAGAAACTGATACAGACATAGTTTGTTATAATGGTGATACTGATTCTGAAGAAAGTGTTTTATCAAAAATCATCAATACAGAACCAGAATGTAAGCTTGACGGTAGCAATATCAGTCCAATAAGCTAATTATAAAACAAGAATCAATTGAAAGTGTCGCAAATGGTGGCCAATTATAAAATATATTTTATTATCGTAATTCATGTTCATCAGAAACTGCGAGTATCATTGTCAATGATGACGAACGTTCAATCCTTCGGAGAGTTAGGTTCATCATCATCATCTATGTTATGAACTATTGTTATACTTTAATAGACGTGTATATCGTTTGTGATTTGGGTTTAACATCAGAAAATATGGGTATCATTAGTCATTTGTTTTAATCCATCGGTGATTTAGGTTTGTCATAATCTGAAACTTATGTTGGGAGCTGTTGTTCTTTAAGGGACATGTGTAATCATTTGATAAGTTACGTTCATCATCACCAGAAAGTATTAGTAACGTTAGAAATCATTATCAATCATGTTATTATTTTAATCCATAGATGATTTAGTTTTATCATCTAAAACTAATTGTGTTAGCTGTTCTTCTTTAAGGGGCTTGTATAATCATCATCACCAGACACTGTTAGTCACGATGTGTCCTCCATTCACCTTTTGTTCATGTTCTATGCCATTGTAATTCACAAGTCATGTTTAAGCACTTTATGATTTAGTTTTATCATCAGAACTGTTTGTTACCTAAGGAGTTTCTGTAATCCAACCACTTTTTGTGACTAAGGTTCCTCATCATCTTCATCTCCAGAAATTATAATTCAAGAGGCATGTTTTATAATTTAGGTTTATCATCATCACCAGAAGTGTTAGTAACCTAAGGAGATCCTGTAACCTATGAGACGGGTACTCCGATCACAAGGGTTCATCATTGCGATTTTCCGAAACTTTTAATATTTCAGCGATATCTACTCAAACTACTTAGGTTTAATAACTAAAAGCATTCATAAGGCATTAATATCGCTCAATGATTTTTTGGTGTATTATTGTAAACTATTATAATGATAGTTTATAGGGTTACGGACTCACTGTAATCATATTAAGAATTGTTAAGATTTTGAGTGTACACCACAAATGTTGCTTAGCATTTTGAATTCAAGAAATGCTATCGACAACCAAAAAAAGGTCTTTTGTGTTTTTTTTTTCCAAATGTTTTTTCTACGTATGGATATATTTGTTGAAAGGATTTTGTCGGATGTGTTTTATTTTCTCTCGTTTATATATTCTGTCACACAATATTATTTATTTGTTTGTTTCGTCAAATGTTGTTTATTTATATTGAGTATATTAATATCCAGTTCACACCAACATTGGTTTTCTGACAAGCTCATTATGTGACCAATATTTGTATTTTTAAATCTAAAACTAGACAGTCTCCTTTCAATGATAGAGTAAGGTCTGTAGGCTAATGATCTTGCAAAAGACCTACAGTAGTAACCTACGAAAAGGTATTAAGATATGCCGTTAAATGAACAAAGGCTTGCTGCACCATAACTAAATTGTTGGAAGCCTAACCTTGTGGAAAAAGATGACCACTTTTGTCAGAATCGTGGCCTATGCCACGTGACAAATCATCTTCAACGCCTTCAATGTCCGAGGGTTCTGCAAGGTCTGATTACTCTGATTGACTCTTTCGATAAGGAGTTAGTTGATGCACCTTATAAAACCCCAACTGTAGTTTTACTCGACGCAGAGTTGATTGCTTGTCATTTGATCAATGATGGTATGATCGGGCTTTAAGTCTGTTTGTATGTGTAGTCTAAATAGATATATTTATTGGTATGAAAGCCTCGTTCTAATTACATCATTTTGGTTTGTTTTCGAATTAAGAATAAATGATTCTATATTAATAAAAAGAACTTGTTTTGTAACTATTTAGCCCAATATACATTTCGCACAGACATGGCTTTAAAAGCGCTTCTCTGATCTAGTATTTGTTATTATTGCACAAGATGCTTTGATTAATTCACAATTGGTGGTTACTATTTCTCATGATCCAATGTCTGCTATTATCAGTAACAGTACGAAATGGAGCCAGCGGGATAAGCAAATAGACTAATCTTTTTTTTTTAAACTCTTTGAGACTTGAAAAGTCATGTACATGTATATATTTGTGATATGATCACAGTACAACTACTCAATAAGCTCAATGACAAAGACAGCATTGATGTAACGGAGATTTAAGTTTCTAGGATTCTTGCAATGAATATTTAGTATGAAATTTAGTGTACATTCATTTGCTCTTTAGGCAATAGATCTTAATTACAAATTAGTCAAAATTTACTTATAACCTTTTTAATGAATTTTAAAGCAGGCATATTACAAGTATATCTATTTAAAATCAATTCAGGACTAATCTTACCCAAATGATCGTAAGGGTAATTTGTTTGAGAATAATTTTTGAAAATAAATTCCTGCATTTTATGCATTTTGTCTTCTAATATTACTACCCTTTTTCAAGTAACTATGGCATATTTAGAGGGTAGTGCCCTCTAAAAGCCAAAAAGGGGGCAAAGGTGCCCCTCACCCCCGTCAATGAAATCTTGGCTACACCACTGAGTAAGTAATGTATATTTCCACAAAAATTGTAATGTTGGATCCTATCAGTGTTATGGTGATTTGAGAATAAAAGTGCAGGCCAAGGTAATGAAGTTAGAATTTTATATTTATTTCAGTGCTGTTAAACGCGTTCACTCCTGTACATTTTCGGTCGCCCCGAGTTCATTCACCCTGTGTCCGTTCGATCCACAATATTTTGTGAAACAATAATCCATAATCCACAAGGTTTGAACAAAATATTTAAATATGTGTTAAATTGTCGAAGTTGGTCACTTATGAATTAAAACAGCTATCATGTGACTTGCTAGTCTTTCATTCAAACCATTTCCAATTTGTCGTCTAGAAACTCATGTTTCTCCAAACGATTCTTTATTCCAAAAATTCAACCCGGTTTCCCCCTGTCAGTGATGCAGGTGATAGGGGCTGACATGGAAAAAGCGTCTAGTCGTTCGGATGGGACAATAAACCAAGGCCCCGTGTGCTACAGGCTGTGCACGTTAAAGATCCCTCGACAGTTGGAAATCGAAAAAGAGCAGGCTAATGCCGCTGTCCTGGCAAAATTTCCCTCATCGCACCCTGCATGACGTTGCCCGTCTTTATTAGCCCACATGGTGCAGAAAAGTAGGACGTAAAACTCCATTCATTTCATTTCATTTTTTTATTCCTTAAAGTGTCCAGAATTAACATGAACTTCGAAACAAAGAAATAAATTATGTAAAAACCGCAATTCCTTAAAATTCTCAAGAAAGTGGTAACATGGCCCACTTTTCAACTCGATTCAAGCAGCATTGAACAATATTATTGCACCCAGGACAAATATTTTTTTTTAAAGGGACAGTTACGCCAATGTTTTAACCAATCATACTTTAGTCTCAGAAACGGGATTTTTTTGGCTAAGCAAATCAGTACTAGTGTTAACAGCTCATCGTCAAAATTTGAGTCTTCAAACTCACGTGTGTCCAGAATTATCCGTGTTTGAAACTATTATATAGAAGAGATCAGTTATTGACAATGTTTGACTGTAGTTTGCAGTAGAGGACAGTAATGATACAGATATTGATAGTGTTTGACTGTAGTATGTAGTAGAGGTCAGTAATGATACAGATATTGATACTTTTTGATTGTAGTATGTAGTAGAGGTCAGTAATGATACAGATATTGATAGTGTTTGATTAGTATATAGTCGAAGTCAGGAAAAATACAGATATTGATAGTATTGGACTGTAGTATGTTGTCTAGTTCAATAATGATACAGATCTTGATAGTGTTTGACTGTAATATGTAGTACAGGTTAATAATGATACAGATATTGATAGTGTTAGACTAGTATGTAGTAGAGGTAAGTAATACAGATATAGATTAATACTACAGTCAAACACTATCAATATGATATGTATTGTTACTAATGTCGTTCCGTAAATTTAATTTTTCGTTTCCGTCAAAGTCTGGCAATTTGTACAATCATTGCTTTTATTCATGTTAATGGCTGGATTTTGACACGATTGAAAAATACTTTATTTTATATTTTTTGTATAATATAACCTGTGCTCAATAATATCAGAACAAATGAACTTTCGTGTTTTGTTGACCATAAGAATTGTTTCTTGAACGTGTACTCATCGTTTGCATTCCGTAACATCTGCCACGAACTGAAGAGTGTGTTCAAGCTTGAAATAGAACGCTTTTCTATAAACAAGGAAAAGAACTAATTACATATTTTTCAACACTTTTAATGAGGTTTCTATATGGTTTTTATCAAGTTTTATGTAAATTTATCTAAATTTATAATAATTGTGCCTTTTACATTTACTAGCTAAAGAACAAGTTATATTGTGGATAGGGTTCATCGTTCAGTGATTTCACCAAGATTCGTCCAAATCGGTAAAAATTGTGCCTTCTCGAGTATTTACAAGCTACAGACTGAACCCATTTCCATAACAATCAAAACATTGTAAATCTTATAATCTCATAAAGACTTTGTTGATTTCCTTGCAACAGTAGTCCAAATATAGGAACAGTGTCGACAAATCCTACGATAATCATCGGCCGCATTGAGTCTATTTCTGGCTTTAGTTTTTATGACTATAGTGTGGAGGTTCGCTTAGGTTCGTAGTGTTGAAGGGCACCAGAAATGCTGAAACTTTTTAATTCTTCTCCTACAATAGTTAGTCGCACCTTACACCTCAGGGGAGGAAAAGAAACCCACGCTGGGAACCAGGAATATACAGTATTATAGCTTGGAACTTAAAAATTCAATAAAAGTCTGTCAAAAGTTATTCACCTCATATAGCGATTGTAGAAATGTTTTGGACTGTGAAATTTAGCGTCCAAAATGCCGGAAAACCACAGTCTTCGATATCAAATATGGCGGATATTAAAATGCTTATTTTAGTGAGCTAACAATGTGAAATGAACACAATATTGATTTTTTTGAAACTTAAAAAGTGTGATTTTTTGAAATATTAAAAAAAATTGGATGAAATCCAACAAACAAATAAAAAAAAATAAAATACCAATAAAGTAAAATTTAAATACCACGTTTTTTCTCCATAGACTAACATGGTGACATTGGCCTATTTTAACAAGTTACCACGCCGTGGTATATAGCTGTAAGGGTAGTTATGACTATTTACCACGCTTACCACGCCAGTGGTAAATAGCCACTGCGGTACTTTTATGGAATTTTTCATTCGTGTGCAGTAACATACCTCGGACACCAGCTTATGGCGTGCACGCCTCACAACTACTCCGCGATACCAGGGCCTGTTCGATTTATGAAGACTTTCTGGCAAGGTCGAGTTTTGACTTTGAAATTGCTTAAGCAAGGTTACTTGGCACATCTAAAACATTCTATGGTCGTTAACTTCTTTTCAACTGTTATATATAATCTGTTTCTTGCATCTTTGGAATGTTTGGTCAGGCATCTGATGTTGACCAATATAGTAGTGGCGGGTTTTGCGCGCGAAGCAGACTATGGTTACTCTTTTCGAAACACTTTACGGTATTTCTCTTTGGAGGAGTCCACTACTTTTCATGGAATTGTCATGCTTGTAGGGATTTTTATTAGGCACAGGCCGTTTAAGGTTTTTTGAAACATATTCATTCAGGGACACTCTTTGTAGGCGACCAATTTTTAGCAAATGTAACAATTGATAACAGGAAGGTTACCTTATAAAAATACACATCTTATAATGTGAGTTTAATCAACTATTATTCAAAGTAAACATTATTGTAAGACAATACAAACATCTTGCTAAATCTAATTAATTAAAAAAGGGTAAAAATATAAATATATTAAAATAAAAGTCATTTAAATTATATATTTGTAAAGTGATCATTACTCAAAGAGCTCAATGACAAAGGCAGCATTGATTTAGTAGGTCATATAGTTTTGAGGATTCTTGCAATCAAAAAGAATTTTAAATAACTATTAGTGATGTACAAAACAAGAAAGAGGGTTAGGAAGGCATTTGTAGAGGACCCGCCCTTATGCAAAAAATGTTAAGTATGAGATCTGAACATGGATTGTCCTTGAGAGACAATACCTTGATTCTATGATTAACCCAGAAGAGTCAACGGTTGCTCCAAAAGGAAAAGTTTGCTAAAAACAATAAAAATCTAACATGGCATACGCCATTGTGTACCTCAACACCTTACCGGCTGTTGATACGTCCCCCGAATGTGTATAGAGATCTTTGATCTGAACTATTTCTATCAATTGGTTATTATGAAATATAAAGAGTACCCGACTTATGATGGTTCCTAGATTTTACAAAAAATAACAATAATGTTAAACATATTCTATTTTAAATGAAGAAAAAAAAAAGAAAAATTTAAAAACAAAAGGATAAGGTTATAAGAGATTCTGTACTATTACCATAAAGTTTATAAACAGGTCAGCGTCCAATAACGTTTACTTGGTAGGTCTTGTATTGTAAACAAAATTTCAAAACTATAATACATATCATATAGCATAATTTTCGTTCACGACAAAATTTGACCTCTAAGTCAAGGACATTAACTCAAAAGCAAAACGTTGGACTTTCCCATCAAAACTGGAGTAACAATAGGATTAGCCATACTGCCTACCCTAAAAACTTGTGTCGACCGCCTACATCGTAATAGACGTTTAGAATAGGAATTCTAATTCAGTATTTGATTTTTTTTTGTTGCCACATTCAGTATTTTGAAATGTTGTTCGAAAGAGGATAAACAGTGCATTACGATTATGAAAAACCTTATTGATGTCTGATAAATACATTATAAGATAGAACTTTAGACGCCAACTTTCAATATTTTAAGGAATGTGTTTATATATTATTGTCATATATCGCCGAGGATATATTGCATTATAACTTGCCATATCCCTAGTTCTTTAGCAGTTATGGAGTGTTCCCGTAGCTTTGTTACTATCCACCACAACCGCCACCACAACCCCCGCCGCACCCCCCTCCACACCCCCCTCCACAACCACCTCCACAACCACCACCACAACCACCACATCCTCCACAACCACCACAGCCTCCACATCCACCAGCATCCCCGCTACCACCAGCACCCCCATCTCCATCGCCACCAGTAATACCACATGTATTGACATCAGAAGTGGTACCAGTCCCCTCACCGCAGTCTACACCACTAATATCACCAATAGGACCAACACCACAACCAGCACAAGCATTTAATCCATACGTCGTACTGATGTAGTGGTTTGATGGCGTGCTCATCAAGAAACCAGCTGCCATAATGAAGGCCATGTCTTCTGAAGGACACGCTGCCACTGATTTGGTACCTCTAGAGGATGAAGCTTTGGTAGACTGTCCTGGTTTCCAACTAGATGGTCTGGGCTGACAGAGAACATATAATAAGGCGATACTAAATGTAAGAGCAATGTGCTCGGCAATATCATCATGTTGTCCTGGTTGGTACAGTATACCTCCCATCTGCATATCCACCTTCAGACCACCAAGTGTAAAATTGAACACACTTGTTGCGTTTATCTCGTGCCAATTCTTGTCGTTCATTTTCCTGAATTTAACTGCTAAAGAACCTGGACTTCCAGGAACACCGCGTGTTCCCTTTCTTTGTCTTGTACCTATAATAATAATTGAAAATCCAAATACAAATAATTCTTTTAAGGCATTGTTTTGAAAACTGGCACTGAATCGCGTTACCTTCAGCAAACTGATTCTGTGCCTATAATATTGATTAAAAAACGACAAAAATATAAACCTTTTAACTTCTATTGTAAGTTGCACTGTATTGCCATCGAAACGAAATATCAACGGAGGATTTCCTTCTTATTTACCACAATTAAGCTAAGAAATATCACTAACACCCCAAGACTGACATCAAGTAATCAGATTCTGAAAATTTTTTAGACATACCTTTAACACCAGGGATACCTTTTTTAAAACCGACCCAACTTCCAACCACCACACCCCAATCACCTTCGTTATTCTTAATCAACACAGCTCGTTCACCACGTCGTGGATTCAATGTTATGTTTGATTTTGATGATGTAACCTAAAAGTACATCAAATCGAAGGAGTGAGTTTTATATTCTTCTGCAAAAGTAAATGATAGCTTGCCAGGCAAGGTAACATACGCCCACTGGCAGCTGTCAGAAATGATTAAACAGTCTTTAGTGACTACAGGGTTGCACAATATAGCTAATAGAGTGAAACGTCAAGTCAGACACGATATTTCGGTGAAATATTATCCGATCATCGCGAAAATCGATAGGGATCATCTTCATAATGACATTGACATACAAAATAAAAATCAAAAGAATCTGTAAACAATTGTAGCCTGTAGAGTGAGCACGAGTTGCACAATAAAGCTAATAGAGTAAAACGTCAGGTCAGACACGATATTTCGGTGAAAAATTATCCGATCATCATGAAAATCGATAGGGATCATCTTCATAATGACATAGACATACAAAATAAAAATCAAAAGAATCTGTAAAAAATTGTAGCCTGTAGAGTGAGCACGAGTTGCACAATATAGCTAATAGAGAAAAACGTCAAGTCAGACACGATATTTCGGTGAAAAATTATCCGATCATCACGAAAATCAATAGGGATCATCTTCATAATGACATTGACACACAAAATAAAAATTAAAAGAATCTGTAAAAAATTGTAGCCTGTGGAGTGAGCACGAGTTGTACAATATAGCTAACAGAGAAAAACGTCAAATCAGACACGATATTTCGGTGAAAAATTATCCGATCATCACGAAAATCAATAGGGATCATCTTCATAATGACATTGACACACAAAATAAAAATCAAAAGAATCTGTAAAAAATTGTAGCCTGTGGAGTGAGCACGAGTTGTACAATATAGCTAATAGAGAAAAACGTCAAGTCAGACACGATATTTCGGTGAAAAATTATCCGATCATCACGAAAATCAATAGGGATCATCTTCATAACAACATTGACATACAAAATAAATATCAAAAGAATCCATACAGAACTGTAGCCTGTAGAGTGAGCACGAGCCAAATGTGATTGACAATAACTTTTACAACAACCAAGAACCTCTGACAGTAATAAATACCTCTTTCATAAATATGCCGTTATTACCGTTATCATGACGTCATTGCACAAATAAGAACAAAAATAATTACAGTCTAAATGCGTGGTATGTTTTTTTGAATGTAAGAGAATCGGACGTGAAATTCTGAAATGGTAGACAAAAAGTATATCACAACTTTATTCACAAGGCACATATACTATATTGGTATACTTACCAATGATGGCAATGGTAGTTGATCTGATCCTACCAAATGAGCTACCACGGACAATTTATCTTTGAAGAAGACATGAACCACTGACGTCATCAATGGTATGCTATGGATAATACGAGCCGTAAATACTGGTTTACCTAAATGGTTCCTCAACCTGAAATGGATTTCTTTTCCTATTAGATATCAACAACGTGATTGAATTAAAGATACAGATGCTTCCTTTCGTGGTGTTGCTGTTATAGGTGACGACACTTGTTATCATTGATCCGATAAAATTAAGTTCGGTCTCTAAAACATTATACCAATTGAATGCAGCCAAGACCTCAGATATATTCATTTTGAAGAAAGTTCTTTTCTGACCACTTCTATCATTTTCTTTTTAGTATTTCTCAGCAATAACAGGTGTGGTTCTAGACAGAGTACGCTTATACTTCTGACCACTTGACGCCACTTTTCATCATCAAATGCGTCTTCATGGATGCAGGTGTTTTTTCTTATCATAATACTTATTGTAATCAGTTCCCTCCCTTGACCCAGTGTTTGTTGTGTCTTCCAGACACCTGATACAATTATTCATCATGAAATACTATTAGCTGCTACCAAAGTTTCGCCAAAATGTTGTTTTGAATTTCGGGTTTTGATTCGCGGTTTGGATCGTTAGTAAGTTACTTGGTTTATTTATTGGAAAACATAAAATAGGCTATAGGTCACAATTCAACGGAACTATTTTAGCACATTGCAGGGTAAGTTTCGGCTTTTTTTTTGCTTATCAAAAGGTACAATTTCCATGGACGTAAATATCTTTACACCTATCAATTTATTTCATGTTTGTCGCTTGATAATATTAGTCGAATTTATAGAGAGAAAACTTACGTGTGAGATGCCACATCACAAACATTATCTGTACCGGGTGGTAATTTAGGTAATGGAACTGGTCCCCACATAGATTCAACATCTACAGGCATCATACATTGTTCATAAGAACCTGGTACCAACTGCAGTGTACACCATCCACGCCTCGGGATCTGAACAGTCCCCACTATATTCAGGTTAACAGATGTGCCCAATGTGACCGCTATATTCAACCTAGAGCTGATTGGTGGTGTGGCCTCTATATGCGGCAACATGTCGTAGACACTTTCACCGAAAGACAAATCACTTCCTAAACATAAAAATCCTGTTTTTTCATACAAGCGAAATTTCAGATTGTTCGACTGCTTGGTATCGAAGTTGAATTTTGCCAAACCGTTCCATGAAGTTTTCGGTCCTTTCAGTGAAGCTACTGTTTGAAGCTCTTTTTTATTTACTGCAATTGATATTTTCAGTCTGAATTTCTTCGCATTTGGGGGAAGATTGGACAGCTGTATAGATTCTATAACTATTTCACTCATCTTGGTACATGCGTAAAATGAATCTTCTTGTGTCATGCCGTATAATTTGCCACGAGGAGGATCACCCCGATACATAGCCCCATACATTGAGAAACTTTCATTAAAAGTGTTCTTCCATACAGTTCGTGTTTCTAAATCAGCATTGTATAGTTTGGATCCCTCTGTCCGATCGTTCACTGTATCATCGTGGTTGAAAACACGACCCAGTAGATTAGTCGTATCATTCTGGTATTTTAGAGGATGAAGTTGATGTGTGTGCCAGATTAGATCTATGTCATAACAAGGCACAAGAAACATTCCTGGGTTCTTCAGTTTAAGGAAAAGGTATTTTTTGTATCTGAGAAGGGCATTCTTTAAGAAGGACTCATCTTTGTAATGTGGCAAGGACACTTGATAATAAAATACCTTTTGTCTGCCTGCAGCTTCTGCAATGTTATACGAAGTTTGTGGCAGAGTTGTGTACCGTGGATCAACAACATCGCCACCTACTTCTAATGGATGATTAGGGTAGGCTTCAGACCAATATTTCTGTGTGACTGGGTATATTTTCTTTAACTCTTGAGGAGTAAACAATTTAGAATCCACAACTTTGCCTACGAGGGCCATGCAATCTTCTCTGTACGTCACTGGACACAACATGTGACAATGCCACGCCCACTGTATGTCGAGAGGAGCGGGTAAGACTTCTTGGTCATGTTTGGCAGCCAATGGAAGCCATAGATTGATGTATCTGTGGATGGCTTGAGTTAAGATTGGTCCCTCCTCTAAATCCGGATGCTTGCTGATCTGTTTGAGAAAGTCAAGATGGAGAAGTGACGCCTGTGGTAAATCTAAACTGAACTTAATACCGTTAGGGTCAGTAGGTTTGGCCATCTATAAAAAAAAATAAAATAAAGTTTTAACAAAATTCTATTTAATATCAATATAATTAAAGTTAGATAACTTTTTTTTTATATTTTTAATCTCTATTGTAATCTAACAAGTTTCTTACCGCTGTCTCGTTCTAGTGAACTATTTTCAACCAATCAAAGCGTGCCATATGGGGTCCGTTTCTTGGCAACGTTGACGAAGTGTTGGAGGCTGTTTTATTGCCCTACTTTGGTCTTCGCTTTCCAACAATTCATAATCGTTACAGTCCTTAGCCCTACATGTCGCATGGAAGTAGAAATTAGATTACAATAGAGACAAACAAATCATTAGAGAAAAGGAGTGGAATATAATCCGATTTTAATCAATCAAACTGAATTCAGATTGTATCCACTCAAGCTTGTTGGATCTTTAATAAGGGAAAACAATAATAAAAATCAATAAAACATTGGATCCAAAAGGAGTAAGTTGGAAACGGATCTGTGCCTGTCCTAATAAACCCAAACTAGGAGCAGAAAGGTAAAACGTAAAACGCAATTGTATCTCATAAGCATATTTGTAGTGAAAATTGTATATATAATCTCCAATCCGACCATACGTTTAATGGAGAATTGATCACGTATAAATATATATATATATATATATATATATAAATATTCATGCTTGAAATTGCTTTTACTAAAATGTTTCACCTTGTGTACCGATCTCCTTACTTAGAAAAGATTGAAGTCTCGAATAATGATCTTCATCAAACATATGAATAATATAAAGAAGTTTCATAAAACCAGTTATAAAGTATATAAATATAAATCTACACGACTATATCTGTACTAGTCAATCGTGACTACAGTCAATCGCGACTACAGAATACAACTTCTTTCAGTCTATTGAATAAATGCAATGTGAATAGTATACCAAATTTACCTTACTAGAAGACAATTGATCACCTGTTCCCTCCGAACTCTATGATTTATATAATTTTTAGACTCTTTCCCTGCCACTGTCAATAACTCTACAGGAAATTGAACTGTTTTAAAGAAAATGTTGACAGGACACTGTTTATATATCGTATCCTATTTATCTCTAGTAGTATTGCTTCAATTATGCATTCCTGACTGATCACGTGATATTCTCCACCAATCGAATCCTGTGATTCAATGTAACGTCAGTAATTATGCAAGTAGCCTTGAACTTCAGATTAATGAAAGCAATACTTTAGTCACGTTTTTCCAGGTACCCCTCAAAACTATTGCGAAATATTTTTAAATGTTTACAATATAATCAAATGGAAATTTACAATATCAAATCCCCTTCAATCTCTTTCCATAGATTAGGATACCTCTGATTGTGTTCAATCAATACAATATTGCAATCGTATTTTGTAACGAATGAAGAATTCTCCGAAAAGGGAAATTTTCAACATGTACAGAATATTTCCGAACCAGCTCAACAGTCTGTAGGGGAGTAGTTTCCATTCACAGAATAGTTTTCGATTTCTTATGTTTTAAGAACTTGGCGCTTTATAAACAGCTTTTAGAATATGTACAATCAGTAGAATTCTTAGAATCTCCAGAAATATAGATTGACGTTCTAAGAATCTCCAGAAATATAGTTTGACGTAGGCCTATAGGAATCTCTCGAGATATTGTTTGACGTATTGGAATCTATATCGATCAGAACGACAGTTTGAAGTCCTTAGAATCTCCAAAAATATTGTTTGACGTTCTTAGAATCTCCAGAAACATAGTTTGAAGTTTTTGGAATCTCAAGAGACATCTATTAAGGTTTTTTTTAGAATCTCCAGAAACATCGATTGAGGTTTTTTAGAATCTCCAGAAACGTCGATTGAGGTTTTTAGAATCTCCAGAAACATCGATTGAGGTTTTTTAGAATCTCCAGAAACGTCGATTGAGGTTTTTTAGAATCTCCAGAAACATCGATTGAGGTTTTTTAGAATCTCCAGAAACGTCGATTGAGGTTTTTGAATTTTTCAGAACCACAGTTGGGTGTTTTATTTCAGAAAATTCAACAAAAAATCACAACTTCACGGATTTAGAATTTTTAGAACTATATGTTTAAGCTTTAACTGTTTAGAATCTCATGAAATATCGCTTGGCCGCTTTGGACTTTTTAGGTGTTGTATATATCCACAAGATCTCGGAAAATTTTCAGTTGAGAGTTACATGCACGTGATATACCAAAAATAGGTTAAAAGAGGCAAGTGAAGGCAATATAGACCGCAGAATTTAAAAATGTGCTGTGTTAGTATAAATCCACAATGTCTCAGACAAGTTTGAACTTGGGTGAGATTCAACGAATATTTCTTGTGTTACAGTGTTACAGCCTCTGATATATCGAAAAGAAGTTAAAATTGACTTAAAAATGCAAAACAGTGCACAGTTTTGTGCGTAGTGTGTAAAATTACAGTTGATATAAAAGAATGGAAAATTAAGCATAGTTAACAAAAATCTTAAAAATATATTAAAATAAAATTCATGTACATGTATATATGTTACATGTTATCACAGTAAGGTACAATGACTCCATGAGATCAATGATATGAGCAGTTTCGATGTAGCTCAGATTATATGTATATGTATAAGACAAGTACAATATGATAAGCAATGGCCAAACTTAATCATACAGCAACATCAAGTTTTCCGAAAGAGTGTAACGAAAGCTATATACAATACACCATTCCATCACTACATTACAAATAATATCAGTTCTGTTTGAAATGAAATGAGAGTAGACCAAAATAGAATTTGTCCTTATTTTTCGCTCAAATTTCTCTAAGATAAGTAGGATACATTATAATATAGTCAGTTAATCTAAATAGTATTTGGGATTCCATTGTGACCATTGGGACATCAAACACATACTATTATTTTAGTTACGTACGAAACCTAGGTGAAACAATCTATATTGTCACTGTAAGAAAACCCAAAGAATTTGGTAAAAGTATCTTTAGTATCTTATCTCTAGCGCACATCTGTACACACCTCCACCACATCCACCGCCTCCACATCCACCGCCTCCACATCCACCGCCACCTCCTCCACATCCACCACCACCGCCTCCACATCCACCGCCACCACATCCGCCACAACCGCCACAACCACCACAGCCTCCACCACCAACGTCCACGCTCCCACCATTATCTCCAGCATTAGCGATATTAGTTACACCACATGTATTGACATCAGAAGTGGTACCAGTTCCCTCACCACAGTCTATACCACTAATATCACCAATAGGACCAACACCACACCCAGCACAAGCATTTAATCCATACGTCGTACTGATGTAGTGGTTTGATGGCGTGCTCATCAACAAACCAGCTGCCATAATCAAGGCCATGTCTTCTGAAGGACATGTTGCCACTGATTTGGCACCCCTAGAGGATGAAACCTTCATAGACTGTCCCGGTCTCCAACTAGATGGTCTAGGCTGACAGAGAACATATAATAAGGCGATACTAAACGTAAGAGCAACGTGCTCGGCTATATCATCATGTTGTCCTGGTTGGTACACTATACCGCCACTCTTCATATTAACCTGCAGACCACCGAGTGTGAAATAAAACGTATTCGTTGCATTCATTTGATGCCAATTGTTGTCGTTCATTCTCCTGAACCGTGCTGTCAAATAATCTGGACTACCAGGAACACCGCGTTTTCCCCTTCTGTGTCTTGTGCCTGTAATAATGATCGAAGAACAGAATCAATAAAACCCTCTGCAGAGAACTGATGACGCGCAAAGTGTATCGAGCGTAACTCGACATTAACTCAGCAGATTAAAATATGACTTTTTTAAAGACCTACCTGAAACACCGGGGACACCTTTTTTAAAGCCGACCCATCTTCCAATGACGACACCCCAATCACCTTGGTGATTCTTAATCAACACAGCTCGTTCACCACGTCGTGGATTCAATGTTATGTTTGATTTTGAAGATGTGACCTACAAATATATCAGGTTACAATTAATGGAGTTTTACATGCCTATTTTCTGCAATAATATTATAAAGCTGTCCATTTCTATCTATCTATATCCATTTTTAGAGAATGACGATTAATAAAGATATGACCAGTAACGTCATAATGTGGATTATATCTGCTTGAACCTGGTGTTGCAAAATTAAGTGCCGTTAATATCAATATCATGACGTCATTGAAAATCAAACTGCACGAGAGAGAGTCTATAACTCCCGGGCGAGGACTGACGACAATAGAGAGCAGTGCAAAGCAACCTTTTTTCACGTCGGTTGCTAGATCGTCAAACATAGATCGTACAAAAGTCGACATTACGTCGATATTATGTTATCCTTTGCGCATACCTGAAATGCACCACGCACCGTATGCGTTCCAGGTATCACGTACTGAAATTACCGTGACCTAAAAACCGACGTAAAAAGGAAATCGTTATGCTGTGTGGCCCCGCTCTCTACTTTGGCAGTCTAAATCTGTGTGGTAGTTTTCTTTTTTAAATTTAAGGGAATTGGACTTCCGATTGGATATTATATGGATATGGATATTCAGATCCGTCCAAATGTAAAGAAACTACTAAAACGACACACGCTTGGTCTAATTCAATATCATTATTGAATTGTTTTACAAAGCAAAACTACCAATGAGACGTTTAATTTTTTATATTCAGATACTTCTATCACTACAAACTTCATTTGTTTAATGATCGGTTATTATACAGCAAGTCGTTATTTTGATTTGAGATATATTCATATGCGATATTATGTTGTAACAAACTTAAAAAAAGGAAAATAAACGCCAGTTTGTGTAACTGGTTCAAAAACGGGAATGATATTAGAAATGTATTTACCACGGATGGCAATGGTAGTTGATCTGATCCTACCAAATGAGCTACCACGGACAATTTATCTTTAACGAAGACATGAACCACTGACGTCATCAATGGTATGCTATGGATAATACGAGCCGTAAATACTGGTTGGGCTAAATGGTTCCAAAGTCTGAAATAGATGTTTTATTTTCTATTAGATATAAACAACCTGATTCAAATAAAGATATAGATGTTTCCTTTCGTGGTATTGCTGTTATAGGTGACGACACTTGTTTTCATTGATCTGAAATATGCAAATATGAAATTTTAGTAAGCTTGGTGTGACAGTGATTTATTTTCCTAAAATATGAATATAGATAGCTGAGATTAATGAAGAGACTATAAATATATCATCGTAGATTTTATATGTGTTCTATGGAGGAGATAAATAATGCATTTGACTTCTCGTAACCACTAACACAAAATTTATTTGCCAATCAAAGGAATCAATGCGTTCAGTGAAACTGCAGCTTTAACTGCAGAAGTCAAGTCTAAAACCATATAAGAGATTTTAGCACACCTATTTTCAATTACCGACAGATTTTCATAAGGTACAATTCCGAAATTGCCACAGAGGCATGTCTACAACCTAAAGTGCCAACAGATACCAGGCCATGAAACCCTACAAATATTAGTTTAGTTGATGATTGTAGAAAAACTTACGCGTGAGATGCCACATTACAAACATTATCTGTACCGGGTGGTAATTTAGGTAATGGAACTGGTCCCCACATAGATTCAACATCTACAGGCATCACACATTGTTCATAAGAACCTGGTACCAACTGCAGTGTACACGATCCACGCCTCGGGATCTGAACAGTCCCCACTATATTCAGGTTAACAGAGGTGCCCAATGTGACCGCTATATTCAACCTAGAGTTGATTGGTGGTGTGGCCTCTATATGCGGCAACATGTCATAGTGCCATCACCAAACGAAACATGGCTTCCTAAACATAAAAGTCCAAATTTTTCATGCAAGCGAAATTTCAGATTGTTCGCTTGTTTGGTATCGAAGATGAAATTTGCTGATCCATTCCACGAAGTTTTCGGTCCTTTCAGTGAAGCTACTGTTTGAAGTTCTTTTCTATTTACCGCAAGTGATATTTTTAGTCTAAATTTCTTCGCATTTGAGGGAAGATTGGACAGCTGTATAGATTCTATAACTATTTCACTCATCTTGGAACATGCGCTAAATAAGTCTTCTTGCGTCATGTGGTATAATTTGCTACGAGGGGGATCACCCCGATACATGGCCCCATACATGGAAAAGTTTTCTCTAAAAGTGTTCTTCCATACAGTTCGTGTTTCTAAATCAGCATTGTATAGTTTGGATCGCTCTGTCCGATCGTTCACTGTATCATCATGGTCAAATACTCGACCCAGTAGATTAGTCGTATCATTCTGGTATTTTAGAGGATGAAGTTGATGTGTGTGCCAGATTAGATCTATGTCATAACAAGGCACAAGAAACATTCCTGGGTTCTTCAGTTTAAGGAAGAGGAATTTTTGGTATCTGAGAAGAGCATTCTTTAGGAAGACCTTATCTTTGTAATGTGGCAAGGCCACTTGATAATAAAATACCTTTTGTCTGCCTGCAGCTTCTGCAATGTTATACGAAGTTTGTGGCAGAGTTGTGTACCGTAGATCAACAACATCGCCACCTACTTCTAATGGATGATTAGGGTAGGCTTCAGACCAATATTTCTGTGTGACTGGGTATTTTTTCATCAACTCTTCAGAAGTATACAATTTAGAATCCACAACTTTGCCTACGAGGGCCATGCAATCTTCTCTGTACGTCACTGGACACAACATGTGACAATGCCACGCCCACTGTATGTCGAGAGGAGCGGGTAAGACTTCTTGGTCATGTTTGGCAGCCAATGGAAGCCATAGATTGATGTATCTGTGGATGGCTTGAGTTAAGATTGGTCCCTCCTCTAATACTTGCTGATCTGTTTAAGAAAGTTAAGTTGGAGTAGTGACGCTTGCGGTAAATCCAAACTAAACTTGATGCTCTGTGGCTTATTAGGTTTGGCCATCTAAAACAATAAATAAAGTTTTAATAAAATATTTGTTAATATACGACAAACCGAATTATCGCTGATTTGTGCTTTAACTCGGCGGGTCTTGATTAAGAGAACAACAATTTTTGTATTTTGAACACAAGTCGAATGTTTTGTTAAATAAAACACGATAAATAAAAAAAATATTGTTTCCAACTACTAGATTGTACCTTGAACCAGTGACAAGTGTTGGATATGGAGAGGAGTCCTGGCAAAATTTCACTACTTGCACACTACATGACATTGACTGTCTTTGGGGGAGAAAAGTAAGACGTAAAACACTAATTCTGTCCATAAGCATTACTTAAAATTTTACAGATCCAACAAAGCTTGAGTTCAAAGGGTGCTTTTGATTATAGTCTACGATATATATGATAATAAGGCCCTATTACAACATTTAATCTATATATAGAATTATTAACACGAGAATTGCTTTTAAACAATCAATGTACCGATCTCCCTACTTAAAAGAAAAGTCTCGAATTATGAACCATAGCATACATATGATAAGTATTATGAAGTTTTATATAAACCAGTTCTTGAGTATATTAAAAGTTTTGTTACAATCAACCACAACTACAATACAATGTATATAACTTTATTTACTATTCAATTAATGAAATATGAATTATAGTATAGTAAATTTACCTTGCTAGAAGACATTTTATCGACTGTTCCCTCCAAACTCTATGATTTATACAATCTTCCTACCACTGTCAATAACTGTACACTGAAATATTACGCAATATTATTATTAGACTTACAATTTATGCATCCTGGGTAAAATGGAAATTTACAACAGGCTAAAAACATTAAATATATTTTTCCATTTCTGCTCAATCGATAAATATGGGATAGAATCGGTCAGAATATGTTCATGTCCTTGTGTTCAATGAATAGAATTCGTATGTTGTAACGAATTGAAGAATTCTGTGAAAAAGGGAAATTTAAACTGCATATGCAATTAAACAAAGATTGAATATAGGGCCTATATGGAAAATATACAGTTTATTTATAAATCCATTAAATTTAAACGTTTACAGATAATTTTAATCACATTGCAAAGGAATATTTTCCATTCGCAAAATTGTTTTATAAAAATATCTAGAAGCATGACTGGACCTTCTAAGATATGCTTGGCGTTCTAAAGGTCATATAGAAGCATGGCGTGGCGTTCTAAATATATATAGAAGCATTTGACGTTCTAGAGGTATTTAGAAGCATAGCTTGGCAATCTAAAAATATATTTAGAAGCCTGGCTTGACGTTCTAAAAATATTTAGAAGTATGACCCGGCGTTCTAAAAAATATTTAGAAGCATGGCTTGACGTTCTAAAAATATTTAGAAGTATGACCCGGTGATCTACAAAATACTTAGAAGCATGGCTTGCCATTCTAAAAATATCCAGAAACACTACTTGACATTATAAAAATCGCGTTAAACATGGGTTGAAGAATTTGGAGTAGGCTATCAGAATCTATCAACAACATATGTTTGATTGATAATGGTTTGAAGTTTTTAGAATCTGTAGAAACGTGGTTTAATTTTAAACTGGAAATGTATAGTTTTTAGAATCTTCAGAACAAGCTGGACGTCTTAGGATTACATATAGGCCTAAGGATGTTATGCAATCTCAACTCATCAACCGGAAGTCAAATATGGCGCGAAAATAGATTTATATTATGATACATTAAAATTCATGCAACAGAAAGAACCTAATGTTGATCGGTCAATGCAAGATGTGGGCTATAAACATGCGATTGAATCAAGCCAGTTTGAGTAATAGAGATTGAAAGTCAATTTAAACTAAGGGAGGTAACTAATAAGAAATATTCAAATAAATGGAAAGGCAAAATAATAGTATTGCAAAGTGGGCTATAATAACTGATCTAATGGTTTCCCTTGGCTGAGAATGTACAGAGTAAATATTTATGGTAACACTACTCTAAGAAACAAGTACAAGGACCTTTTTTGTATGAACTGGCATCAGTAATCTTCCGACAGACTCCGACACTCCGAATAATTCAAGGAGCTTCTGTAAATTTATTCATGTGTAGGTATAGTAAAACGCAACAATTAAAACCCCTTTACTGAATAATTCCGTACATATACACTTTACGTGGGGGTCATAGGCTCGGGTCAGCCTATAGTTATAAACATATACATTTTTCTAGTCCCCATTATTAATATCTAAATAAACAACACAATCGGTGAACAATGTTGAAATAGTCTATATTAATCATATAATAACGTCAGAGTTGGGCTATATAGCCTATATAATAATATACAACACACCTTGGGGATAAAATGTAAATAGAATGTTCCTTATTGGTGGTAACTAAATAATGTGTTGTACTTATGGTACAAGGGAAATAACTCATATACAACAATCCTGCCCTTTTTGGTTATAAATAGAAACTTAAAGGCAACCAATTACAGTGTCTAACGTTAATAGCGTTATTTATAGATGTATATTCGAGCCAATGAAATGATAGCAAATTGACTTATTTTTAGCAACAAGTTAGCAAGGTATATATACTATCGTGTATGGAAGTAGTACGGTATATTTGATTTTTATATAGGATTATAATGTGATATGATTATACATGACGTTCGAGTTATATGTGACATAAACGCACAACCCGATTCAGGAAGTGTTTATTTAATACAGAAATCAGTTATTAATATATTTACAGTCAGTTATCATAAAGGTGAGATGAAATTTCAATTTGAATTCTAATTTTCGTTAAGATTTGGGTTATACAAACATTCAACGCTTGAGTATGTTAGCGGTGTTGTAGGGCGACAGGTCACAGCCCATTGTGGTTAGACATTTTTGTTAGAGAACCTCAGTATAGTTGACGAGGAAATTTATTTTGGCTATCAAAGAGCGATGGGTTATTTGTTTGCTTTTGTATTTTTATTTCACAATTCCAATCACCCAAGTCCCTTATCAAGAAAGCGCACATGTCCGTTAGGTTTAAATCTAGTAACAAGGATGGGCGTTGCCTTCATTAGATTGATATGACATCATAACTTACGACTTGGATCTTATTTCGTTCTATACTGTACGATTTATATGTTCGCATGTTTCCTGGCACAGCAGCGCGTAAAGTGTCTGTCACACCTTGATCAGTGATAGGCATAGCTTGCCCAAACATGCATGAATGTTCCATACATTCATAACAATTATGATAGGCCTATTTGCGATATTTTAGATATCATAAGGAAGTGGTGTATAATGTTTTAACATGTATGAATAACTCAATGAATGAGCAATCTAGCATGATTGAACAATAAAATACTGCAAAGTAGAATAAATGAACAAAAGAGTGACAAAAGGAGAATATAATAAAGTTGAACAACAACATGGAATGAATATGTTGGAATGGACGACTAAATGATTGAACATCAGAATGAATAAACTACCGAATGACTGACCAATAATGAATTATACTAGAATGAATGAACACTAGAAACCAATGAGGAACAGATGAATGAAAGAGGGTAGAACAATTTGAAGACCGTTAAAACGTTAATAAAAATTCTTAGTAACTCAAAAAGGACAGGCTATTGCATGAATGTTAGGTGAAAACAAACAATTGTTATTGTTAGTTGTTTACAAATGTTCGAGGTCTCTCAAATCTTAATTCATTTGATACAATCCCATTATTGATCGAGAATTCTTTCTTAAAACCTACTTTAGACTTCACTATAGGGCGATCAGGTTGGTCAACGACTGTAACAAAGTATTTGACTCTATCGAGATTATCTTACAATAGATAATATTACCAACGCCCTGGGGCACATACTTTACATTCTGACCTAATTAAACCTGGATTGTGACCTAGATAATAGACTAAATGTGTAATAACATCCCGAATGAGTCATTTATATCAAAGCAAGTCACCACAAAGGCGGAACGAAAGACAACCTTGAGCGATCGCAGAGACAGCCAGATACACTTTTTGAATCATATGGAACCAACAATTTTAAACAGCTGGTAATATTCCAGATGGAAGTGCGGGTGAGTCTTTGTCGGTTTTGGTACCACCAGATTTCTCCTTGTGTATATCTCAATACAGTAATGCATAATCATTGTCTTAGAACTCGGAATCTTATCAGTAGAAATCAGTTTCCATGCTTTATAAGGTTTTGTTAAACACTATATTGGTTGTACATATAGTAGAGAGTTGAAGTACAGTACAGGTCATATATAATTGCAGTAACCAATTTATGAAATTGCTGTGTCAATTAATATTGTAGTTAGTTCATCGCCGAAACTAATATATGTTCTGCTTATATTTCACTATTCATTTTGCTATGACCATATTCAATATTAAATACGTCTATACTAGGTCGCCATTAAAGGTCTTGAATACAAATCGTTGTCACTTCGCCATCAATTGTCAAATATTGTCATTTCGAGGTGGCTTTGGTCAAGCTTTATTTCAAACTAAGTTTGGTCTTGCTCTTTTTTGAAAATTATTATTTGACACGTTTATTTCAGAGTCGTTATTTTTTTAAAAATGTAATTAATACAGTAATAGGTTTGGTATGTGACCTTTGACCCTACGAAATTGGAGACACGGTGAACACCTAGGTATAAATATTATACTTCAAATAATGTATATATGTATAGGATTGACTAAGTGGCGAGGACAAAAACGCGGATGACAAAAGCTTTTGGCCATACGACAAGAAAAATACAAAGTCGCACTGTTCATTATTGTTTATGACATTTATATGGGTTATCAAACTATTATGTAAGATAATAAGTACACGATGTATATTATCACATAGAAGGGAAAACTCACCTATCTATCAGTACAAATCTATATAGAATAGAAATCCATAAAGTCAAAATGAGGAAGCTATGAAATGAGTCATACAGAAAGAGTAAGCGCATTCTGCACAATGCTTAGAAGCCGCCAAGATAGCATGCCAGAGAATATTAGCATGTGCACTAAGAAGAGAGTGGATCTGTAATCTAGATGAAGGGATGGGGTTTATGTAGATACCTTGATACCTGAGTATAAAAAAGGAGTTATGACTTCACTAAATATGTCATACGGACATTACTATTCATAAAATATATCTTACTTCTATAGTTACAATATTTATTACCTTATATACAGCCCTGAAGTTATTTTTTTGTTTACAAAACTTGCCTAAAAATATCATCCAATTATACCTTCTACGTATATTATTATGACAGTTATTCGTCCCCCGCATATTTTGACTTTTTACTGTCCACGCCCGACTAGATGTATGTCTCTTTAAACACTTATTGTCAAAAGATGAAACACCATCTGAAATATCGTCTTTAGCAGAGTAGCTATTCTTAGTAAACTTTATTGAAATATAGTTTGATTGCGTTGTTAGTTGTTAATATTTGTATTACGAGCTGTGATAAATGTATTGTATTGTGAGGCTTGATATTTATTAAAATATTGGATGTGAGTTGTAAATATTGTATTCCTATATAGGACAGTTCGTTTGATTGAGTGGTGGTGGGGAGGGGGTGATATCGGAATGGTATTTTATTGTGATAATGGTGATTGTATTATGTTGTAAGGTTGTACATTGATAATTGTATATTATATATTTTATTGTTTATTTCATCGTATATTTTCAGATCTTGAAAGATGACGACTGATATAAGAAAGAAGTTAGTGATAGTAGGTGATGGTGCCTGTGGTAAAACATGTTTACTAATTGTATTTAGTAAAGACCAGTTCCCGGAAGTGTATGTTCCCACAGTCTTTGAAAATTATGTTGCAGACATTGAAGTTGACAATAAATCGGTAGGTACACCGTTACTAAACAGTTTCAAATGGTTACAGATAGATCCTATGTCTATCAGCAAATGAAAATGGTATATATAATTGTATATCCTGGGGAAATATAAGATGCAGCTGTTTTAAAGTTGGTCTAATAACGCAAGAGAGTTAAAAGAGTCATCATCTATGAATAAAGTTGGTAGGGGTTAAAATTGTGTGTAGACAAATATTTGCTGTAAATTGCTGAAGATCCGTATTGGATTTCGTGCGATTAGTATTCATAGCTATCGCAAATGAAAATGAACTATTGGAGTGAGATATTGGATGCTATTACTAAATAATCTACTGTATTTGGAAGAACTTTTCAAACACGGAAGCCTTAAGATCAATTTTTTTCTCTCATCTGTTTTCAGGTTGAATTAGCATTATGGGATACAGCTGGTCAAGAAGATTACGATCGATTACGTCCTCTGTCTTATCCAGATACTGATGTCATACTAATGTGTTTCTCTATTGATAACCCGGACAGTCTTGAAAACATCTCAGAAAAGTGGAACCCGGAAGTGCACCATTTCTGTCCTAATGTACCTATTATTTTAGTGGGAAATAAAAAAGATTTACGAAACGATCCGGCAACTCGTGACGAATTGGCAAGTCTGAAACAAAAACCAGTGAGCCAAGAAGAAGGCAGGGCAATGGCTGAACAAATCCATGCCTACAGTTATCTGGAATGTTCTGCAAGAACCAAAGAAGGTGTTCGTGAAGTCTTTGAAACCGCCACCCGTGCAGCTTTACAGAAAAAGAATTCGAAACGACGAAAGGTGAAATGCAGTATTTTTTAGAGATTAAAACCAATGAAAATTGTAAATAACTGACAATTTCGTTACATTCGTTTTTCAGACCTAGAATTTGCCTCGAAAAACACTTAGCTCAAACGACTTTTTGCGTGCATGTTGATTTCGATGAATGTATTATGATTATCGATGTGTTCGATTACCATACCTCCAAAGGAATAATTTCTTCAAGGTGGTATATAGTTCAGGTCGTGTATGAGATATAGGGTTGCATATATTGAGATTACTGCACTTTTGTTATCTTTGTCAAAATGTCATTATAAATGTATTTTCCCTAATATTGATTATGAATAACGAGTGTATTCATTTATGAACCCTAATTAGAAGAAAAGGTCCCTACTGAAGACACAGAGCTTAGACGATCGCTTGGAAAAAGAAACATCATAACTCATAGTTTCAGCTGACACACGCACCCCTTTAAGCAAGTTTCGATAGTATTATCTGACTTGTAGCTTTAGATAGTATTTAAGGAGAAGGATTCAGGCCTATGTTTTTATGTTTTGCCAGATTGGACCATCTAATGTGACTTTTCTATGTCATTAACAGTATTACACGATTAAACTGTCCCAATGTTTTAAAAAAAACCTTTGTCACTCATTTCTAAATGAATGTTAACAGATAGCTTCCTGTCATTGATTCTATTTACTACCAACAAGGGCTGTATGAGGTGCGACTGGCAGAAGCTGCAAAGCAAATGAATTTTCAACGACTTTCAGTAACTGGTGGTATCTGAAGAATCGAATCAAACGCTGGAATAAGTCAACCAAGCAAATGATAGTACCTATAGTCGTCGGTCAGTCTTTATCAGTGGAAGTGTATCTTATATGTTATATGACTTGTTTTGTTAAAAATAGAAACCGATTTTAAAGAGCTTTTAATGTCAGAAACAATGATTAATTTATAAGTTTTTTGATGTGACTGTTACAAAAAAGAAATTATTAAAAGCTGTGTTTGTGTAAATAAGCTTATTGATTGTTCATTTTTTGTTGTTTTATTTTGTTATGCTATATATTATCCTGTATATTTTGATATTCAAATGATAAAAATTACCAAAAACTACTGTAATATTGTTAACCCGTCGAATCTGAATCTGGCTTAACCTACTTACTCGTAAATGGTGTCACCAAATGCAAAATGCACATTACGTCCATGGACAACGCTTTAACAAAGCAAGGAAATGGCAAGAAATACTAGTCTACTTTCCTTTCATACTAATATCTAACATGGATGTCCAAAGCCACAGGATGGCGCTTGAAACTGGTGTATTTTTGTGTGGAACAAAAAAAACATTAACATACATTCTGATCACTGTCATTAAAAGAGATTTGGCTCATTTCAGCTCATTCCACATAATACATTATATAATAATATGCTAACAAAGTCATATTTTGCATTGTGGAAGTTTGTAGATGATGGACTTTTGTTGGGATGTACGCTAGCGAATACAGCCAACCAGAGGCCTCGACTGTGACCACAAAGCCATAATGTTTTTAGCCTTTCTGTTTGGGGCTCTGATTGGCTGTATCAGCTGGTGTACAAAGTACAATCCAAAGTACGAATTAAGTTCGTAATAGCTTGACACTATAAAGATGCCCCTATTCCACCTTTTAAAGATTCTAAGAATCCAAAATAAACTGCACAATCTAAATCATCCAAAAGCAAATTTGAACGCCAGTTTTTTTTCCAGGACAGAATAGTCGTCGGTCAGTCTTTATCAGTGGAAGTGTATCTTATATGTTATATTTTGATATGTAACTATTCCAATATATTACATCTCCTTCCCTGTAACTAATGGGAGTCGTATTTTGCTTATAGCAAAAACATTCTTATTCGCTAACTAACACTGAAATCTTGATATCCAGTCCCGGCCCTATTGGCGTTTTAGAACATCCATAAACATATTCTACGAGAATGGAACATCACAGACTGACTGTCAAGGTACCCAATTTTGCAACCGCGCTTTACAATCGCTACAGGATCTTGGTTTTCTGTCAAAATTAATAAAAAAAGAGGGGCAATGAGAAGAAAATGTTAACGTATCTATATCTCTCTTTTATATACACTATTTTTCCCATTACCTCTATCTTATTCATATTGATATAACTGTGACCAGGTCGTGATAACATGCTGTTGAAATATACGTTTGTCCTCATATATGTGTAATTCATTAATGGGTTTGATTTCATAAGTGGTCGTATGCTTCCTGGTCGTCCAGGGGAGTCAAATCTAAATACTCTGGTGGTTGACAAAGCACATCCTGTGTCTGTTCCCATCGGATGTTGAGGCGTGGATGGAGGTGAATGTGGATTTTTACGCTTATGCAATGGATTGCCACCCAGACAACCGACCATTTCCATTACTGCAACCAAATACAATATACCTATATAATTTTGTTTTCTGGCTCCAGGCCACCTAATTTCCTATGATGGAAAAAATTGAATGCTCTGTAGGCTAATAAAAATAGTTTTCACTGTGGTCATTCTACTTTTTCCTCTTCTCAATAACCAATGCGTCTTGAACAGCTGAGTTAAAACCAGATCGACTGATTGGTGATAATTGATCCTATTATTCATATCGTCTAATTTTTTTCTGTTCCAGTATCAAGTTTTGTTTGGCCCACATTCCCCCAAGTGCTGCTGAAAACCATGTCGATTGGAGAAATGTGGTTAGTAAGGGGGTATAAATTCTGCGCTGTGGTAATTTATTTTGATTTAGATACTATCAAACGAAATTTTCGTGCAAACTATATCAGAAAAAAAGTTCTTAAATATTATGGACTGGACCATAATCCATAAGAAATAAAAAGTATTCAACCACATGCCTTATTATGATGACATGGAAATTTTGGCACACTCTTTACTTCTTGGCTGGAATTAAAGCATAAAAAAGTTTGCCAAGTTCGATAACTCAGATTCATTTCCGTTTTCGAAGAAAAACATTCCCAAAAATAATAAAAATGAAATTTAAACTTGAAATATGTGTTAGTTTTTGTGTAATGTTTGGCAGAAATGTGAAAACGGTTGAGGTAAATATAAAGTGTCTAATTATTACTCACAAAGATATTTTCTAAAACCTGCATGGTTGCCAATCTGTGAAATAGTGGTTTCAGACATGGATCTCAATGTAAATAGACTATGCAAATAGATCAAATGAATTTGTTATTTTGGTCTACTGGTGACGATGGTTGAGTCTTGATTTTGCTGATTAGTTCTTTGATACTGTTTATTACCAATATTTGAAAATCTTAGATGTTAAAACTATGGGAACTTTTCGAAATTATGTATGTACAGTTAATATATCTTTCTCTAATGTGTGGATATGTATCACAATAATTATGATTCCATTGATTGTGTTATCCTCACAAGGAGCCTTATGTATTCAAAATATGAAGCAGAAACATGGAGTTGAAAACTGAAAAGTAGGACATAAGACTCACTCACTTTATTTTTTCAGCATTATTTTTTGACGCGCCATTTCAAAAATTGTCAATTCAACTTTACACTATTTCCTCCAGCTTGAAATCACTTATCAAATTTATGTTGAAAACTGAAACTTTTACCACACAAAATTGGAAGCTTTTAGAATTTTAAACATTTTGAGAGTACTGATATTTCCCATTTATTGTTACATTCACACAGGAATTGAACAGTATAAGCTTATAAGAGTTGAATACAGAAATGTAATTTTGCAATGGAATTGAAATCAGAAAAATTTGAAAAGGATGTAATCAATGGTCAAACATTTACATTTTATACATATGTATAATTAAAAACTACTGTAATTGAAGTCTTTGAAATACAAATTTTAATTTTGTTTGTGGTTTGGAAATTTTGCCAAGACAGTGACATTCCAGCCTCCTCTTTATCAAATTCTTGATGCCTTGGTACAAAAATGCAGATGGAACTGCATCAAATTGTCAAATTGGGTAAGGGGCAAACTGGAAGAGGCGAAGCGGAAAAGGGACTAGATGGGTTATGGGTGACTTGGGAAAGGGGCAAGATAGCATACTGGAAAGAGGCGATAAGGGAATAATTTAAGGGAGAATTTTGTTGATAATATTGTACAAAAACATTTATGAAGTGATTTGGTTTTGGCATTAGCATAAACAAGCTAGTGTAGAGACAGAAAACTAAGCCCTTTAATGTGGGGATTTATGTAAAGTGAATTAATCAAATATATATTCGAAAAGGTGGACATTTTTGTAGTTCCTTCATACCATCCTAATCCCCTTATGCCCCATTTATGTTACGTGATTCCATCAAGGTTATTTTGAACAAACTTTTTCTTGTCAGCCATTTAAAGCTACTTGCACTAACAAAAAGAAAGTGACTGTAATACCTTAGACTAATTTACAGTCATCGAGAAGGTTATTTCATATGTTCGAAAAAACACATCTTTAGACAAGTGGAAAAAATCCCCCAAAAACACTAAACAGCTGATAACTGCCAAAATATCTATAAGAGGCTGGAATAGAGGAAGATTCTACTAACTGAATGTTTTATCATGCTGAAAATTAAATAAGTTGAATAAATGTAAACTATGAATCATGATTTTATAATAATGATATTTTAATATGCAGGCTACAAGTTTGATGCTCTATTACATATTGATTAGTTATGTATATTACAATGTTAATTAAATTAGCTAATTGAAACATAATCAGCTGATGATATTGCTGGCGACAAATTTAAACAGTACATGGATTAGCAAGTTCAATTTCAATTATGTCCTTTCTTGGTCTATTTCTTGGTCTTAACCAATTAATAGGGTTATGAAAGTGGCAGTGTTTGCCAATTTTCAGTGTGCGTTATGTAGTATTGTCATAGTTGAAATGAAGAGTTGGTGAAGGACACACTAGCATCAATAGAAAAGCCAAAATTAACCTCACAACAATAACTTGTACACTATGAGAAAGAATTTACAGTTTGGATTTAAATCAAATAAATGTCTAATTATAAAGAAATATGTCTCCTATTTATTCTGAAGGTTTCAACTTTACTAATATCGAAACATTATAAATAAAGCAAAACATCGAAACTAGGTCAAACTGATTAATTATCAATTGGTAGCTCCATTTTTTAATTTACCCTTTTAAAACCAAATCTTTTTGTTCTACTAGATACATTTAGAAATATTTTTATATTTGAAAATTTTGCATACTGCCCCTTAAAATTAATGTGGTTTATAACTTACTTTATTTCTACAAGGCTTGGGGACATATATAAGGATAAGGGCTGTAGAAAAGACAAATATGATTCAGCTCTAAAGGTTTGGCTTGGGTTTTTACTATATTATGAAAGAGAGAGGTCCTACAATGTCTTTGTGTCTTGATTTCCTCCAGAAAGCCGAGCTCCTAGTGAAATAGTTTGATAATAAGTCATTATCTAGCTGGAAGGTTTATATACTTTATTTACCTATCAACTTGAAATAGTTGAAACTATATTTATAGATTATTTGTAATATTATGTATGTAGATCTTTCTTGTTATTGTTCACAGTCTTCTTAATAGTTAAGTTGGTAAGTTGAATAGTGCTATTTTTTTTATATGAAAATGAAGTAATGATAGACGGCTAAGAATGTTGATGAAGAGAGCATTTATTAATATTTCTATATCACTCTACAATTGATGTATTGAGCACTATTTTAACAGTGACAAATTTAATTATTGTATATTAGAGTAAATATATCTTACAATGTACAGTCAAGATTCTCAGAAAGCCTACTAAAGGCTTTATTCTTTATCCAAACTATGTCCATACTTTTCCTTGAATACTGGTTGACCAAGACAGCTGTGTGTGGGGGTATATTTTGTACAACTGTTGCTTCACTAAATTTTCTACGATTGTTCTTTCAGGAAAATGTTAGAGATCAGTTTGAGATGGAAGATAGAAAATAAAGTCATGGATTGAGCTCTGTGTTTTTGTTTTCAAGTTTTTATCAAATGTGATGTTCGTGTGACTTATCATTTTCAACATGATTGTGTATTAAGTTTTGTGTTTGGTATATTCGTCATCAGTAACTTTGGTTTTTTGCTCAGATAGCTCAAAATTATTTTTCTCTTTTGTTTTGAAATTTAATTTTTTTTGTTAAGTTTTGTTTATGGACAGTTGACCAAAATGGATGAAGAAGTTCATGAATCTCCAAACTCATTTGATCCTGAATATTTTGCTTTTGGAACTGACTTGGTGTCGTCTGCTATTGACCTGTTGGATTTTTTAGCAGAAGCAGACAAATTACCATCTTTATTGAATGAATCTGTGATACGAGGTGCCATTTATAGGTATGAGAGCCTATGGCTTCCTTTCGCTGCAAAATTTAATGACGGCCTGGAATTAGTTGCACCCGTTGATATTGAATGGGTTTGGCTCTGTCATTTATTAAGTCCTGTCACTTATGCCAAAGATTGTCTCGCAATTTGTGGAAAAATCATAGATCATAAATTGCGAAGTAAACAAGAACGTGCAGATGGACTGGAAGAGACCCAGCATTTATGGGATCAAGAATATCCTAATGATAAATTTGTGATATCTTTGGATGCCGTGATCGATATTCCAGAGATCTACTACTCCAAAATCAGCTATGATATCGTGGCTGCCAGTCTACGTCAGAGAGAATTCTATTATCAAGTCTCTTTGCCCCATTATAAAGACTTGAAGTTCATATCTCACAGTGTGTTACGTTATAAAAAATTCCTGTATTTGAAGAAATGTTATCCAGGCATGTTTATTGTTCCTTGTTACGATATAGATTTAATCTGGCATTCGCATCAACTTCATCCCCTTATTTATCAGTTTGATACTGAATGTTTCATTGGACAGTTATTTAACCATGATGATTCCGTCAATGATAGATCGGCTGGTTCCAGACTCAACCGTGCAGAGTTTGCTACCAGAAATTTGTGGAAAAAAATCTTTGCAGAGAAATTCTCTCTGTTTGGTGCAATGTATCGTGGTAAATTGCCTCGTGGAAAATTATACCGACCAACAGTTGAAGAGACATATCATGTGTCCACCAAGAAATCCAAAGTTGTATTAGAGTCTGTGGAACTTTCTGGTCTTCCCTATGACACCAAGAATTATAAATTAAAGATCTGGTATAAAACCGGTTACCAGAACTTTAATAAATCCCTATATGTGTCTGATGTTATAGCCAGAATGAAGGGCTCTTATGATAAACTAGAGTGTGAACAGCGTGTAATGAAAAATTTCAGTTTTGACACCAAATATAATAACCATATACATTTTGAACTTTCTCGACAGGAGGGCATGTTTTGCTTCTCTGCCCATGAACCGTATGAAGAAGGCCACTGGAGCCTTTTAAAAGTTATGCAATCTGCCAAAAGGGGACCAATCAAAACTTCTATGGATGTTTCATTAGGAGAGGAAGTTTGTGCTAGAGTGAAAGTGAGCATGTCTTCACCTGATCCAGGACCATGTACTTTAAGGTTAAATTGTGGGGAGTATCAGGACTGTATTATGCCAGAAACAGTGGAACAGTTATGGGGACCTATACCATTGCCACGGTTACCACCTGGTTTAGATAATAATTGTTCTGTGGCTTCACATAGGTCAGTGGATTTTTTTTTATGAGTTTGCCATTGAAATTGATTCAATATTTAAATTTTCTAATTCTGACTGCATATAACAAATATTGATACATATTTTTAGGATAAATATTTAATTTTAAACTATTTACCGATATCAGCAAAAAGTAAAGTTGCCAATGATATCCAGATAGTAAAACAGGAAAAGGAGTTTGAATTTTCAACCTTGACAGGAATGCATTTTGCAGGTCTTATATGAAAATAGAATCCTCATAATGGGATAGAAAACTAGTTCCTGTGTGATTCAGGCTGTAAATATAATTGAGAAATATGAAATAGATAAAAAAACTAATTAATTGGTGCTACTATCCTGTTGAACAAAATAAGTCTGATATATCTTATGATATAATGTATTATGTTGATTTTATATTTTTGTTTGTTTCAGGTTATTAAACCATGCAGGTGAAGTAGCATACACTTGTCGTATCATACATAGTCTTCCATTATTAATGTCTGCTATACATGTCTTCTACCGAGACAAGATGGCTGCTGTAGCTCATCTCATAGCATCAGATCAACTACCTTTACCACAAATGGTAAGATTATAGTATTTTAGTGCCCAATATAAAAATTCCCAACCATCTTTTAAGGAAACCTCGTATGAAATGTAAACATTTGCCGAGTCGGTAATCCCATCTTAACTTTTTAAAATTGTGCAATTGATAGACTTACATGTACTCTTGTCATGATCATTTAACAACTGGTTTCTGAGTTAGTATAAATTATTTATATGGAGCTCAAATTTGATAAATTCTTGGTTATTTTGTATTTTGTTTATAGGTTGATAATGCTGAAAAATGTATAACATTGAATCCAAAGATAGGAGAGCGGGCTCTTCTGATAAAGAATCACCATGGTGATTGGGGTGTTATCATTGGTAGATGGGCTGGTGTAAGGAAAGGAATAAAACCCATCAGACGTAAGTACTTTCTTCAATGCTTTATGTACTTTGGAAACAGGCTCTGGTAGCAATCTCAGCAGCTGCAATAAACGACATTGGAAGGGAAAGTTTTGTCCATATTCTAGCTCAAAGGACAGCAGACCCCCCAGCTCATGCGGTTGTTGCACTTCTGATTGGACTGAACTTATTTTCACAAATGGTTTGCTATGTGAAAGATATCCTGAAATGATTGAATCCCTTCGGGGTAATTAAAATATCTGATGCTGACGTCAGTTCTTTTGACAGCCCATCACTCTGGATGATTTTTCCATGCTTTTCCACAGTTTGTTTTATTCTTTCTTATGATAGCAACAAAAAATAGTCCTGGACGACGCGGCATACCACCAAGTCCTGGTTATCTTGACATAAGTTTTTATAAGATATCCAGTAAAAGATGGATAGAGTTATCCCTACAAGATGCCTATACGTCTGGTAACTTCAAGTTCAAGTTAGACTCATCTATAATAGAACTGGATCAGGGCATGATTGAGATAGACAGCAAAAGAAATGAGGTTTGTAGATTTTGTTTTGGTATATAGATTATATCTGACTTTAAAACAAAGAATCATGCAGTGCCTTTAAGATTATTATTTTGATCCCCAATCACAAGATGAAATTACTTATACTGCAGAAATAGTAAATATTTCCATTTCTGTGCCCACTATGTTCATCAAAATTATTTGAAACCTTTTTGGTACTTGACTTCCCCCCAATCTTTTCAAATATGTGTATTTGCAGATTGCAGAGAATCTGGTTTTGGCTTTTAGTGTCTCTCTACTTCATGTTCTTTGTCAGCCTAGACCTGCTGCCTGGGAACCTGGTCAACCAATGAAATCTGAAGAGAAACAGTATCCAGGCCGACGGTTTACTGTGCCCTCTGATCAGTTAGCTCTTATTGTGGCTGCTGGATTTCTCATAGCCACTCCTTGTGGTTATTTTATACGCAAAGCCAAAGAATCAAGAAATTTACATGGGGAAGTACGGGAAGAAGACCAGATTAACAGAATGGATGACACTGCCAATGTTGGAATGTGGGGTGCCAGCACTTCAGCTGGTCCAGGTGGATTCCGTCCAGTTGATAATGAACAGGATATTGATATCATGAAAGCTGTAGTTGAAACTGACAACATCTTTGGTAAAGCTGATCACCGTGATAACAGTGATTCATCTGATGATGACAGTATTGATAATGAAGTCCATGAGGATCAGGTACAGGTGGATTACCATGCATCAGCTAATGCTCATGATAACAGCATCATTGAAGGATTGGACAATATTGATGAGGAGGATGAAGAGGATGTGACCGAAACAGAGAAAGATACTGTCCAGAATGAGGATGCACCAGAGGATGTGGATTCAATCAATGAGTTGGAAAGGGAACTGCTAGAAGAAGAGAAGGTGGATGAGGATACCAGTAGTTTTGATAACCATGATGATATAGTTGCTGCTGATCATTTGGAAGATAATGATGTTGATTTGGGATATGGTGTTGATGCTGATGAGGATGTAGATGAGAATGATGCTGCTGAATCAGAAAATGTCCTGGGAGCTGCTTCAGAAGATTATGGGTATGGTGCTAGTTTTGGTGATGATCCTGAGAATGGGGATGATATTAATTTTGCTGATGTTGATGATTTAGGCTATGGAGGTCATGTTTTCAATGATGTTGATCAACTTGATGAGTTCAATGCTTTGAATGAATCATTTGGAGGGACGATCGTGGATGACTTTGGGGACAGTGTATACATGACAGCCTATGATGCTGATTATGAGACGTGGGGTTATGGAGCTGAAACAGAGGCTGGTAATTATGAGGACTATGATTTAGGCGATGATTTTGTAGAGAATAGCCACATTGATCATTTTGGACATTCCACAGATCTTGATACATTAACATTTACCAACAATGATGCTGTTGGCTTCAGTCAGTCCAATGGAGATAATGATGCATTTACT